AAGATATGCAAATTTTTTTTAGGTTAACTATAAATTTTTTTCGCAAGGACCCTTGAGGTTAATGGTAATAACGAGATATCCGTCGAACTTGCCAAGTAAAAACCGACAAATAATTTTTTCTTGCAACCTGCAGTAAACATTTCATCGATCGTTTTGTGATATTTCACGTCAAAATGTTAAATAATTAAAATATTGTTAAAACTCAAAACCAACTAAGTAAGTGTATTAAAAATAATAATTGGTAATGAACTAATAAATAAAATAATTGATAGATTAATTCGATTAACGACAATTGAAAGTAAAAAAAAGCACGATCTCTATTTAATAATTGGAGAATTGTATAATTTAAATATTATCTGCATGTATATATATATGTGTGTGTGTGTGTGTGTGTGTGTGTGTGTGTGTGTGTGTGTGTGTAACAGCGACTTCTGTTTGCAATCTTTTTATCTGCGTTTGTAACTCGAATGACTCATGCCATGTTGATTTTCGATGATACTTCAGCACTCGACACTCGCGACTCGCATACGTTTTCGAAAATTCGCTTAAATTTCCGCGCATTCGACAAATTTACGCTGGACACGTAATACTCCGAAAATAAACCGTTTCCAGGATGCAGATCGCGCGCAATATCTAGTCAAACATATTCATTTAAGTCGCCGGTGTAATCAACATTCAATTGTCAACAATAATTCGCCTGTTTTCCCGCTTAAAAATTCAAACGAGATGACAACCATATCAAGTCGCGCTTAAATTTCACTAATCAGCTGAGCGTCAACTTCTCGGCTTGTTAAAATAATTATTCCGAATTAATGCCGCGAAAAGTGCGTGCACGCGATCAATTCAAATCTGCAACAACAAATATGGCGACCGTAAAAGAAACTTGACAGCCGACGCAATGGAGGAAAGCACGCTGTCAAAGCACACGCGGTATTCGCGCGCGCGCGCACACACACGCACACACACACACAGTCACACGATCAACAAGCAACATACGGACAGACACACGTACATACACACCTACATCGCACGTGTCACCGAAAACACAGAGGGAGACGCTACGCGGCGACGCGTCCCTCTCCGCGCAAAGAAGCCGGGGGGGAGGAGAGGGGCCAAAGCACAAATTTGGGACTCACGTTTCAGTGGCTTGGGGTTGCTTTGCTTGCGGCGCGACATCCTCTCTGCGCTCTGCCATCACCCGCTCAGCGTGGACATTGCGTTGCAGCGTGGAGTAACGTTGGCAGCGATCTCGCGGTGGCGGACACGAGCGTGAACGGTCAACAATCGACACAGCACACGTGCGAAAGCGCGGGGAACGGACAAGAGGGAGGGAAGAAGACGGTGACAAGAGGCAGCGGAAAGCGATAACGATCGGGACAACGGAAAAACGCTGCGAACGAACGGAGGGAGCACAGGACGGGATAACGAAGATTGAGAGAAAGACAAATATAAACACTGTCCCGACGCGACGAATGTACAAACAACGGCTCTGTAAAGGATCCTGGTACTCGAGATCGAGCGTGACAACGCGCGGCGATGACGACACGAGCGAGCCGACGACAAATGTGACGCCGGCAGTCGGCGTTTCCGGGATACGCGATCGCACGCGCCAATTCATACGACCGCGGTCGCTGTCAGCGCGCAACTAAACAAACGCGCCGCCAAACACTCCCCCACTCCCAGGCCGCGGCGTGACCGCGTGACTGGTGGGAATAGGTGCAGGTGGGGATCGCGACGCGGCCGACAGATGAAGAAACGAGGGGGGTGATCGGCGAAGTATACGACGCGGGAAAGTTCGAACGTTCGCGCGCGCGGTGAACGAAGAACACAGGGTGCGCGAAGACGGTCTCGCGAGAATCCGAAAGTCCGTGAAGACTCGCACGCTGTCGCCATCTCGAGAAGCATCGCGTCGCGTCGCGTCGCAAGCAGATCGCGTGGTAAAGTTGCGAGCAACTTAATGGTAATGGCCTCCGCGGCATGGCGTAGACGCTTCGCGTTATCGGCATTTGTGAATAATGTCGATCATCGACAGGTGCCGCCTGTGACATCTGAACTATGTACAAGCGATGAGTTCTTATGAATGATAGCTATATATATAAGAATTATAGTTATAAAAAGGAAAATATAATTTTATAAGAGTATGTAATATATCATTAACCTGTGTACATATTGTCTATGTACACAGAAAATATGCAAATCTGTATATTTATAATGCAGAGATGAATAAATTATAAAATTTAGATTACGTAAACTAATAATGGAATATCTATGTTCACGCAACTCTCGCAAGGCCCCCCGGTCTCTGGTTAACGATTCGTCGGTGCACGAAACTAACTTCATTTGAGGAAAATCAAGATTTTTTTATAACTATGTTATGACAAAAAGAAATCTTCGACTTAAGGCTGTCTTGAGCCTATAAAATGCCTATGAAATGTATGACGCATTTTATATTCTGTCCTTAAATTAACTCTTACATCAATGAACTTAGGTTATTTCTTCTTACATCTTAAAATAGCCTATCGCTTAATTTATATCCGAGAGATTAAAATTCATAAATAAGACATACCATTTTACGTGTGAAAGCTGCAACCTCTGCCGTATCAGCGTTAATCTCCTTCTCCATAGATAATTGGGAAGTAGGCAATCCAATAACTTGAGAGCAAAGAGCTGTCGAAGATTTTCAGCCTGCTCTTTTTTGGACAACTTTCTGAACTGCTTGCACATTGGTGCGATGAAGTCGAGTGAAACAAAATATACTGTCTCACTCTAACCTATTACGCGAATGTGCATCGATTCAGGAAGTCTTCGAAAAAGAACAGACCTTCTACTCATACAGCACAAAAGTTGCAGCAACATTGCCGCAACGTTGTTGCAATATTGCAACATTGTCGCAACGTTGCAGTAATGTTGTTGCAACTTTTGTGCTGTATGGGTAGCGACTCGCTCGATCTTCCGGACGATTTCCGGATTCCATAGGATGTCCACTTTCCACGAGCGATCGACGGTATTTCACACAAATACATAGTACATAAAACCGCACTACCAGCGATATTTTTCTCGACACTCCCGACGATGTTTCACGCGCGATATTTTACTCGACACTCCCGACGAGGCTTATTTCGCGAGACATTCATTGTCGACGCATTGCCCGACGATATTTGGTCACGATGAACGCGCGAAACTTACTTTTGGCACTCTCAAAACACGCGCGAGACTTGCAGCAAGACGGAGGAGGCAAACATCGTAACGGTTACATTTCGAACTGCTATTACGCGACAAACTTACGAACTTCACTCGGTACTTCTCTCGGCATTCTTCGTTACACGGCAAGATTCGCTCGCGAAAATGATCTAAAGATACTACGCCACAACAAAGTTGTGCGATATTTGCAAAAATCATAATTATCTTTTGCCGAGACGAACGTGTGAAATATAACAGCAGCATTCCAAACTGTCGCAAGCGAAATTTTATTCGATTTTTCACGACTTGATCTGCGGTAACGGTAATCGCTCGTGACGATTGTTTAACGATATTTTGCTACAATAATGCATAAAACTTGTTTTTCACGCTCTCGATGTCGATACTTCACGAACGAGACTCGCTTTCGGCGAGACAGAAATATATAACATATCGATAGCATGTTGAATCGCCATTACGTCGTACGAACGAAATCTCACTCGGCATTTTCGGTGACTCGATCCAATTGTGGAATATTCGCTCACGACAATTATTTAATGATACTTTGTTATAACTTGCCTTCGGCGTTCCTGGCGTCGGCATTTCGCGATCGAGACGAGATTGTGGAACATCACGATTGTACTTTGAGCCGAGACGAACGTCTTGCGTGACAAACGAACGAAATTTTATTCAACACCCCAATGCCTGCTCCGCGATATAGCGGGAGGGGGTCGTACTTCATAATTATCTAATGATATTTCTACGTTACTACGACAACGAGCAGAAATTGTTTCCAGCCTTTCGTAACGATACTTCGCGAGCGAAACTCGTTTTTGTCAGGTTGAAATCGCGAGACGTCGCCGTTTGGATTCCGAAACGTTACGACAGCACGAAACTTTGCTTGGTTATGCCGGCGACCCGTGTCTTATGAGATATTTATTTATACATTATTTCGGCGATTGCTTGGCAATATTTCATTACAGGGAGTACAGAAGGCTTACCTTCAGTCATCAGTTCGTGAAACTCACACTTGGTGAGTCAAAAACACGAGAAACATGGGACGACGTTTCGAATCGGGCATCCCACAGCGCGGTCCGCTCCAAAAAGGCTGCAGATGTCGCGTTCATAAATCTCGAAGCAGAGCTCGCGCAGGCTGCGCGCGCATCAAGCCTCAAACCCAGTATTTTATACATTCACATAAGAAATATACTTCAATTCGAAATACGTGGAATAGTCGTACGCCATACGTGAAATATTAAATTGAAATGCACAAAACGAAGGAGCGATCGGTTGCCACATGTAAGTTATATAAAACTATTATATAAAAATTATTAATGACCAGCGTTTGAAGAACTTATTGTAGAAAATGTATAATATCACGTGACCAATAACGGCACTTTCGTGTTGTCTCATTCAGTTCGAACATTTCGTGTTGTCTTGCGATCGTTTAACGTGTGTTCCTTGTATCTTTTAATTTGTCGGAAATAAGACCCACATACGCGATTAAGTATTAAAGATACCGACAATTAAACAATGAGCAATTGTTCCTTAGTATTGATTGATCCATCCGAGTACAATAGGTTTTTCGATATTTATAATTGACGTTACTCTATCGCATCATGTTGGAAAGATGGAAGAAAATGAATCGCCAACAAACATACATATTTACTTATATAGAATGTGCATCGGTAAATTTGAACCTTTTGTCTGTATTAGTGTATGCAACCATATTGAAATGAATTTACTGTTGTCATCAATAAGATATATACATATATAACCTTTGAAGATATATTTATTTATTTATGAAATAATATAAATATACATGAAAAGCAACATATACATAGAGCCTGTGAAAGAGAAAGTTAAGGAGGGAAATAATCTTCTCCAATATTATCTATGAATATTAAATATTAAATATTTATCTACGAATATTAATTATTATTTACAAGTAACACTGCATAGTGTTGTTCTCTGTCTACTATTTATGCTTTGAAAAATAAAATCTGTTTCATGATTATATATATATATATATACGCACACACAACAACAGATATACATTATGTACACATATGTCATTGTCTCACAATTTCACAGTTCTACGGCACACTAATTTTTTGGCATCAAACACTGATTGAGCAGCCCAAGCAGCATGGAATTCTCTATGGCAGCAGCTACTCTTTCCTTATCAGCCAGTTGCTTGTTCAATGATGCTTCTGAGACATGCGTACCAGGAGAGATTTCTACGCTCACCTTGAACCTAACAGGTAAGGTGCGCAACAATTGCACACGAATGGATAATCCTATTAAAGTAGCCATACTGCAATGAGGAATAGTGGGTGTGAATTTTACATCTACTGTATTTTTCTTATTGTCAACCTATAATATAAAACATTATATTACTGTATAGTTTAGAATATCGTTACTGTAATTGAGGGTATTTTGTTTGAAAAAATATCTTACCTGGATGAGACTCTGTTCCACTACATTTAATTCCTCCAAAGTTAGTGGATGTTCTGGGTCATTGATATTCCTAATTAAATCTACAAATGATTATTCAATAATCAGTAATTACTCATTTACTAGTACTACGTATTTCATCAGTTTTAAAAGAATAATTTCAAATAATTAAATACACAATATATGATTATTGGATGAAATAAATATTGAAACGTCATACACAGTCATTAAATATATAAATGACAAAATTAAAACTCAGAACTCAATTTAACAAAGATAGTATTTAGAGGTTATGCTTACCAAAAACTTCTCTAGCATCAAATTCATCAACAGTATCTTCATCTTGCTCTTCGAATGTAATTTTTCTCTCATCCAATTTTTTATAGAGCTTCGGATTAATATTTTCCAAATTTTCGGCCATCGTGAATCACTATTAAATACGTCAAACTATTACAATTCGTGTTCAACGCTCGCGTTCTCATTCATTATCGCGTATAATCGAATTATTTGCGTTTATTATAAAAATTTCTTACCCTTATAAGAGTTTTTGTTATTGCTGTTGTTATTATAATTATAATTATAGTTATTATAGTATAACTTTTGGACACACAAAGCGAACGTGTCGCCTCACTATTCGGTTCTGTTTCGCTAGATCAACCATAGACTATTATTTACCAAGAATGTCGACGAATGCTGTTCTTTTCATACATGCACTACCCTGCCACACTATTTTACACACTACACTGAAAAGAATATATTTTAGGAGATTTGCACTATTGATAAATTTTTATGTTTCTCTTTCTCTTTCTTTTCCTCTTAGCTATAGAAATTATATAATAAAAGTAATATAGAAATATTCTGAATTATATGAATGCACAAAATATAAGAAAAAAAAAGAGCGATATATTTCTCACATAGATGAAATGATATTTTATCAATCTTTGATTGTGTGTGTATAATTTTATTCAAGTACAATTACTAAAACCTGTGCATTATTAAAATTCACTTACAATTAATTCAACGTTCGTGTTACAATTGACATTTATATGTTTGCGTAAAAATCTTTGGCTAATAAATAAAAACGAGGAAGAAAAAATATCACTTTGAGAGATTAGCACACGCACATATAACAATGCATTTCCACAATTCGTGATTTTTCCACAATTTTTCCCTCGTTGTTATCATCATTATCCATACGTGATGGCTCTAACTATTTATGTCGAATGTTTTATTGTTATTCACAACATTTCTCTATTTCCAATATTTCCAGTATAAATTTTTGTGCGAACGTATTTTTTATATAAAAACGTTTCGATATTACATTTTTTTACGTTTATTGTTTACGAGGATGAATCTATAAGGCGGACTGTTCCGTGATCTCAATTTTGTCATCAATCTCGTTGGAACTTCGTCTTGATAAATCTAAATTTCGATGATTGTCGTTCTTCCGACAAGCCTCTTCGGCCTGCTCATGAAGACTCGTAGCCATTTGATTGCCTGTATTTTGCACCATTTGTAAGAAATAACCATCCGGTTTGTCGCGTAACAACTCATATGGGCAACCAAATTCCTGTTGACGTGCACAGTTATCAATAATTATTAACATATGATATTTTTACCTATTTACCAACCGCGACAAAATTCAAAATATTCGTTACCAGTAAAGTCATATAAATTCTTACTTCTACATTTATAAATGATTGATTGAGATTATTAAGCAATCTTTGTTAAAGAGTCAATAGAAATTAAATAGAAAATAAACGTCATGAATATTCTTCTTTAGTTGTTTTATAAAGTAAATGGTTCTGATAATTTTTGTATATTTTTGTATATATATAATAGAATAGAAATAACATACCACTATACGGCCATTTTCCATTACTATAATCCGGTCACTATCTATAATAGTGTTCAAACGATGTGCTATCGTGATAACAGTGCATTCTTTAAAGCTGGTTCTTATCGTGTTTTGTATCAGGGAATCGGTGCTGAAACAGAAGATAGGGACTTAACTCCGTCGCGAAAGCAAATAAATTCACAAAGTGCACGTTTATCTATTTGATCGTCTGTTTTATCTGATGATTTGATTGAGGATTTGAGTCATTGAACCTGCTGCGAAAACAACACAACGTAAACCGATTTTCTTGATTGACGCTTGGAAACGACTTTACAGAGAAAATTGTCATGTACTGTCGTAAATTGTCAAAACTCACTGCGAATCAATATTGGCGGTTGCCTCATCAAGAACGAGCAAACGATTGTTTCTCAGGATGGCTCTGGCCAAACATATGAGTTGCCTTTGACCTACACTAAAGTTGTGGCCGCCGTGAAGAACATTTTGGTCCAGTGAGATGTCATTCAGCTCGACCTGTCGAAGCACATCCCAGAGTAGTACGTCTTCATATTGATTGAACGGATCCAGGTTGTAACGCAAACTTTCGGAAAAGAGCACCGGCTCTTGCGGTATGATGGAAATTTTGGAACGTAGTTCCGTCAAGGCCACCGTGCTCGTCTCCCTGTCGTCGATCTTGATCTCGCCTTCTAAACCTTCGTCGAACAAACGAAAGATCGCGGATATCAAGGACGATTTACCAGCGCCGGTTCGTCCTACCACACCAACCTTCCAGCCAGATTCGATGGACACGTTCAAATTCTACGAAACGAATTGACAATGAAATTATCATAGTGAATTGCGAGATGATTTTTCACAAAAAAAAAAGGAGCTAAAGATGCCTAAATTTGTTATTTTAATTATCGAAGATCAAATCGATTCACTTACCTTCAAGATGGGTGGATTATCCTTGTCATATTTCATGCTGACATTTTTGAAGGTGAGTCTTCCGTTAGCCGGCCATGTAGGTGGCGGAGGATCTTTCGGGACGATTAATTTTTCCGTAGGTAGATTCGTATATTGAAGAATCCTCTCCACAGATGTCATCAGCGAGATTGTTTCAGCGAGCTGTTTTATACCGTATTGCAGACCACCAGTCAGAATTAACGACTGTGAGATCGCCAGACCTACATCACCACTGAGTACGCCGCCTATACGTGAAAATCGACATTATTAGAAATCATAGGACATCACTAGAGAATAACGTATACGTAACGCAACTTTAATAAATGTATTTCTCAAAACATTAATTATACAAAAATCACTGAAATACTTTGAGAGTTCGAGTAGTTAAACGTAGTCTACATACCACGACCATTTAGTGCTATGAAAGAAAAGCAGATACAAGCAATGAACAAACATGTGAACAAGTCTAGCACGAGTCCAAAAATCGATGCAATGGCTATAACAAGGTACCATGCGCCGCTATGGTAATCCTGCAACGAGTCGAATTGTTTCTGCATCATCAATTCAGTATCAACACCGTTACTTCTGATCGTCGGTAGACCGTTTAGTGTGGAATTCACGTGGGAGAACAGCGGACTCTTAGCTGAAAACGAAGGGATATCGAACATGAATGTTTGGAAAAAAAGATTCAAAGAGTTAAAATTCTTCAGATTAAATTCAACGAACGATATTGACAGTCAAGTACGATAGAAAAGTGGAAGAAACGATTAAGAAACGTTATTCTTTTGACTTTTAGTTTCTATATAAAGCAGCGTTCTTCTCAATACTTACTTATGCCTTCGAGACGTTTGACATCTTGAGCGGTGCGGAGATATATTTTCGTAACTAACATAAATACAATAGCGAGTAAGGCGATCGGTATCAGCATCCAATAATTGATTATCGCCTCCATAATAAGTATACCGCCCATTACGGAGATCAGTTGAATTGCTTCTAACATTATTTTGGGCAACATCTCGTCCATTGTTCCGACGTCTTTCGAGAATCTGTTTAAGATCCTCCCTGAGATACGACAGAAACAGAAAAAATAACGGGATGTATAAGCAATACTTAATTTTACATACATAAGTAATATCGTAAATACCAAAAAGATATTCCACGTTAACACGTAAATCACATTCTCCTTTGCGTTCTCCTTTGCGAATAATTGTAAAAATTGAGAAAAGGATATTAAACAAAAGAGGCTACACATGTTCGCAATTATCATCATATTAACAGCCTTGCACTCTTCGACTCACCAGTGGGATTGTTGTTGAAGAAAAACATACGAGCCTGCACTAAATTAGTGAACATGGTGTTGTGAAGATTACAGCTGGAGTTCATGCAAATCTTCATATAGAGGAAGCTGCGGAGTAACGTGATGATCGTGCAGGAGAAGATGGTGAACGTGTAAACGTAGATGGCGGACTTAGTACTGAGCAGGCCGTCCGGATCCAATTTGAAGATCAAGCCGAGAAAGGTATCATTGTGCATTTGTCTGAATTCGTGGCTCACACGATCAGCATCGGGGGTACCTTCGCTGTTCCGTTCCTCCTCCAGGTTGGTCCAATATGAGACCCAGAAGTCGTTGCCGCTGGTGGCAACTTGACTGACGATGAAGCACATAAGCAGGATAAATAACATGAAGCTGTTGCCGCCGTGGTGGAAATATTCCTTGTACACCTTGGCGGACAGGTAGCCGTGAGCCATCTCCTCGCCTTCCAAACTGTTCTCGTACTGCATGTCTTCGATCTCGGAATACTGCAAAGTAACAATCATTCGATTCATTTTCGTGAAAGAAATTCATGATTCGACTGAATTATCTGCACGAAGCTACGTAAACAATCATCGATGTGAATCGAAGTCTAATCGCGATCGTCTTACCGCGATGGAACTTGTGATCGACAACCCTGAAGGACGTCTCATTATTGAGATTTTTCTATTGGACATCTCTGAGATTTTCCTCGCGTCGTCTTCCTTCTTTTGCGCCTCGTGGTTCAAGCTATTCATCATCTCAATGAAATCTTTGTTCGATGCCACTAATTCATTATAGTTCCCTTGCATCTTAATAAAACCCTTGAGAATAGAAATAAGATAACTTGATAGAACTGAAATATTCAAGAAAACGCTCGATACGATACTCACTCGATCTAATACAATGACATGTTCGGCTCGTCTGAGGAACTGTAGCTGATGAGTGACGAGAATCCTCGTTTTGCCGGTTAGATACTCGACAATGCACCTCTTATAGAGATGTTTGGCGACGTGAGTGTCCACCGCGCTCAAAGGGTCGTCCAGCAAATAGAGATCCGCTTGTCTGTAAACCGCTCTTGCGAGATTGACTCGCGCCCTTTGGCCTCCAGACAAAGACACACCTCTTTCTCCAACTATCGTCATGTCGCCCTGCGGCAATTGCCGAAAGTCTTTCGTCAAAGCACACACGTTCGTCACCTGAAATCATCGATTAATCGTCAGAAGATGCAGAAGTCGAGAATAAGAAAAAACACATCACAGAAGAGTATTGGAAGATACATTTAAAAAAACAAGATACATTTAATTAAAATGATACGTTTGAAGAAACAAGGCACCAAGAAAAGTCGGAAGAATCAAGAGTGATAAGAGTTAAGGCCATTGGTACTCTGATAAAAACCTGCGTATATCTCGTTTTATCATAAGGTTGTCCAAACAAGATGTTGTCCTTCACGGTGCCGCCAAAGAGCCAAGCTTCCTGACTGGCATAGGAAATACGTAAGTTCGGGTTGTCCACTATGTAACCGTTTCTGAATTCGCTCTCGATGCTTTTCAAGCCCTGAGTGAGAATCACGTTACCCGCGCCAGGATTCAATTCTCTCAGAAGTAAATGGAGCATGGACGACTTGCCAGAACCCACAGCACCCACCACAGCGCATAACTCGCCTGGTTTGATCGTAGTGGAGATGTTGCACAATGTCGGCGGTAGTTGGCCGTTGATCCAGTTGGCAGACACGCGTTGAAGTTCTACGCAAACTGCACGCTCAGGTAATATTTCAAAAGTGGGATGAGAAATTCCATTGTTGACGAAGCTGTCGCGCTTTCGATTTTCTTTAGCGCTTTTTTTGGATGATTTAGTAGACGCAGATTGTGGTCGTGATGTGATCGCAGGACGTTCCATATTTACCTCGTCCATTAGAAGGAATTTCTAAAGAGTGAATTCATTAGCTATTGAATGAACGCTCGATGAGCAAAGTTTTTTTGTAAAGATTGAGGATTGAACATTTTAAGAAAGGCATCAGTTAAAGAATCTAAGTGCTATTGAAGCGATTAACATCTATTTAGATCTTAAAGACTGGATGATCTAAAACTCGGTCTCGATGACTCCAAAATCTGACAAAGTTACAGAAATTTCTCTGACGATTCCAACGATTAAAAGTTAATAATGAATGAATTTCTATAACGCACCTCCAGTCTATTTATAGACACCATTGTTTCGCCCAACAATATCAACGCTTGCGGAAAGAATAGCGCGGTAGTGAGCTGAAGAATATTGAAGTAACTCGCCAAAACGTAAGTCACATCGGCGGACAAATGGTTTCCCGTAAGAACATACATTAATAGGGTGAAGTAAAGGATGAGTCTCTCGGTGAACACTATGATGGCCAAGTACGCAGCGCGTACATAAGACGAAAACTTGATTTTGTCAATCTCCGATATTCTCGTGATTGAGACGATTTTGCTGAACGGTTTCTCCCAGGCGTACATCTTCACCACCTGATGAAAGGAACGAGAGATTGTGTTATTTTTATTTTCTCATGCTTCATCTGGCATATTAGTGATCATTCTTTTATCTAATTATCAATAATATAATAAAAAATCAATCATCAAAAATATAACATCTAATTATTTAGTCACTGTAAGCGTGATCATCAATCGCTGCGAATATAACAATAAAGATAATGAAGAAGAAACGCAGCACCTGTATCCCAGCTATGAGCTCACTCATCAACTGCACTCTACGATCGGTAAGCGGTGCAATCTTGGCTCTGATACTGCGACTTAAGAGACTGAAAGTTCCCTGAATTGGTAGAGTGATGATCAACAGCGACCCGATACCAACGAAAGTCGAGATGCCGATCTTCTGCCACATTATGTATGTCACGGTCACAACCTGCGAATAAAAGAACGTGAGCGAATTCGATGAGTAACATCATCTTTTTCGCGAGATAAAAAATTACCTGAATGGGCATGATCCACATGAAGTTCAAAAATAAGGATAATTGATCAAAACGGAGGACGTCATTACTGAGGAGGTTGATTACCTGTCCGGTGCCGGTTTGGCTCAGGGACGTTTTGCTCAGCCGTAGCAGCTGCGACAATTTGTCAAAGATTAGAAAATTCTTATCGTGCTGTTAAACAGCGCAGTAATAATATAATGATAATATATTGCACAAAATAATTGGTAATTCTTTCTTTCTTCGTTGATTTCTTCTCCATTGTGTTTAACAAACACAAGGAAATCTCCTTGTATTTATTAAACAACGTCATGCAAATTTAACTAATGGATCGTGAAAAGCTCTAGAGTCGCTTGAGTTTGGCAAATACAGATTTTCAAGTCGCCTCGCAGATTCAAGTGTACGCCTAAACTATTTCCCCAATCGCATTAATATTTACAGTCTGTTTGATAAAAGCATGTCCGGTAGAACTCGATAAACAATTTATTGTAACGATTTATAATAAAATACACACATATCACTTGATTGGAACTAAGATGCTTTATTATTAATAACTTGTTTAGACGCCTTTATTACCAATAATTGCTTGGCATTTTCGAAACGTATTTTTAGCTAATTTTATAACATATTCTTGAGATAAAGATCAATGTAATTTGTCGAACTAACTCCTTGATCTTCCAAATTTTCTTTCCCTGAATCTTAAGCTCCCGAGGCCAAATGTTTTGTTGCATTCGATGACTGTAACGACCAATTCAGTAATGCAACATCATTTTTTTATTTCCTTGCGATACAAAGACAACTTCAATGTTTAGGGTCATTGTCCTCTTGTAGTATCTATTTCTCGTTTTTCCTTATAAACTACTTTTAAACACATTGTAATAAAGACTTCTTATAAATTTTGACCAATCTTGGCAGCGTGTAAATTGTCTGTGAAAAAATGCGATGTGCCAAATCCTTGCTGTGAGAAGCAATCCCAAATGTGCACCTCTTCCGGATGATTAACAGTCCTCTAGACGAGTCTACTAGTAGAGGTAGATTCGAGATAGAAGTATTTGCCCCAAAGGAAGCTTTGTCAGAAAAAAATTATATTGCCCCAACCGTGGTCCATATGTTCTTGCATTCAAGCAATTCTTTTTTCGATATATTTTTCGGTCAGTAGAGATTTCTTCACTATACTTCGATATTTTACATTATAAGCACGTAGACGTTTTCTTACTACATCTCATGATATATTTATGACTTTTTCTGTCCGCCTCGCAACGATAGACGAGTATTGTTCGCAAACATCCGTAGAATCAGCTTGTTCTCTTTGTTCGACGTTTTCTGCGTAGAACTACGTTCCAGTAAACTATCAACGTTTTTCATCTCTAAGTAGCGACGCACCCACTTATTTACAAATGTCTTAGACTGTCTCATATACTTAGTAACTGCTTGGTGCGACATTTTTTATCTTTCTGGATGTGTACAGGAAAACACGACTTCGAGTCGTGACGTGTATGCGGCACTCATACCAAAATACTTATTTTATATATTTTTGTCATTAAGGTTGAGTAACAATTCAAGTTTTTTCTACAAAGCATCTTCAGACCAAATGTCTCTCTACCTGCTCCTGTGGAAATTTCTATCCAACGATTTTTATGTAAAAATTTTGCCGGACACACTCTTATCAAATAGGTCATGGCAATTTCTTGTTCCTTCGATTTCATGGTGGAATATAGTTAGGAAGAATCGTTAGGAATATCGTAGGAAGAAATACTGCCGCCATTTAAATCTAAAGTGACCGCGAAACATGTCTGCTTCTTGTTACAGTAAATCACGAGGAAAATATTTTTTTCACATAGTATAAGTTCAAAAAGCAGCATAGGATGAGTTGCGTTTGAAATAGATAAGTCACTTCATGATGAATATTCGCAACAATTCAATATATGCGGTTAGCATACGTAACATGACGAATTTATCGTTCAAAGCCTAAGGTCACGCTTGACGACGATATCGGGATATCGGTAAATTGTTCGTATGCTCATTTACTATGATAATTTGCAGTTCCTGCATGTCCTCAATTTTCTCGATATTTGCGTGCCATAAAAGACTGTTGAAGCAATTAGGTGAACTTAATAATTTATACGGTTTCTGCGTGACCTTCACTTAATAATTGCTATGAAAGACTGCTAAAGTGATTAGGTGAACTTCGAAAATTGTTGTCGAATGCGAAAAAGACTTCCCAAGCAACTGCCAGCAAAGTACTTTAGTGATTATTTAAGAATGAAAGATATCGGTTGCCCGATAAATTAGTCAGCTTATTAACAATGAAATTCACTGGTTACCGAGTCGCGTACCGCTTTGACTGTTCTGTTTCTCTTCCACGTTTTCTTTCGTTTGTCAAGCGCCACGAATTCCACGTGGCTTTATGGAAATCAGTTTCTAAGAATCTGTGAGCGTGAAAACGTAAGCGTTATCCATTCAAGCGTTACTCATTTAAACTTCTTTTAATTTCTTTAAACGCTCCTTTCGACCGTGTTCCGTGAAACGATTTGAGCCAAAATGCTTGACAGACACAAATCATTTGTGACGTTACCTTTCTGTAAATCAGCGAGCTACAAGCAACGCGTACCCTCATTCCGATCTGCTGTGTCATTAAATACATATTATGCATAATTATAACAGTGATGGCCAAAGATAAAACCAGGCAGATAGTATAGATCAATGCTTCGTCTCTGTTGACGCTGTCCGGCGCGCCAGGCTTGCCGTTGAAATACTTGATAATCCAGCCCTGCAGAATTGGCTGCATCACGCGCAGTATGACGACCTGGAATGAATGTGTTATGTGATCGATGATTCTTGGCAGGACTTATAGATGAATCCTGATAGGATTTACGAATTTCGCGTTTCGAATTCGTTCGTTTCTAATACGTAACGTTCTAATATGTAACTCTTTAGTCTTCTAGTATAATTTCTTGAGAAATTTCCCTTCAAACGCTTATTTTTACTTTTCGATGAAACATGACATTATCTACAAAAATATTACGATATTTCGCGATACCTGGATGGTCAAGAAAATTCCAGCTATGAAATACGGTAACCAGAAAGCGCAAAAAATCGCCTTGTACAACCTCGGTCGGTAGTTCTTCTTCAGCAGAACTTTCTGCCCGTCCTTGCCCACAGTGTATTCCACTTTCTTTAGCTTTGCTAACTCGCGATTCCAACATCTGGAATTGAGAAAATAAAATCTCTTTTGAAATTACCAGTACCGAGAATCGCGTCTCGGAATCATCCTTGAACCGGAAAGAAATTATTCCGCTAACTACGTTATTCGCCATCTGATCAAATATTTTTGCAATTGTCGGCAAAATGTTGGTGAAAAATACTGTGGTATCGAACATACCTATCAAGTAGCACTAAATAAGCATTCGATTATTATGTTTCCCTGTTATCTACTACTTAGCGTTTTTAAACAAATTAGCTGGTTTCTACAGATACGAAAGTATTGACACAAGAACTTAATAAATCAATCTTTTTATTCGGCGGAAAATTCTAAAAGTTTACTAAATTTATATTTCCTACAGTTTTCTGTTAATTAATATATATATAAATATAAATATATATATATATATATATATATATATATATATACAGGTGTCTGGAATGTGATCATTAATATTTTGTGTACTGGTAGATTGGGTGTAGCCGAGAAGAAAAGTCATGTACCATAATGTCAAATTGGCAATAGTTATCGAGTTATTAATTGAAACATGTGAGCCAATGAGCGCTGGGCGGCCGCCTCTTGTCGCTTGCGCTCGCTCGCTCCTCGCGCGCGCGCACGCCACTTGTCGCTTACGGTTGCCTCTCGCCGCGCGAGGTAAGCCATCTTCTTATACACAGTGCCCGCCCTGTCACTTTCTCGTGCGCTCATTCGTTTACACATTTTACTTAATTACGGAATAAATATTGAAAAAATTGTAAAATGGCACAGGACTTTTTTAATTGTTTTAACGAGTTCTACTAGTACACAAAATATTAATGATCACATTCCGGATATCCTGTATATATATATATATATATATTACATTGTTAATTAAAATTCTGAAGGACTTTATAATATTAATTCTCTCCGCTGAGAGTTAAGTTTACTTCAAATATTCATAATCGAATTAAATTGCCTCAAATTTTTCATGGAAGAAACAACTTACCTTGTGTAACTGATTTTTCTATTGTCTGAGGAATAAAAAATTCAATTGTATGAAAAACTCTTGTAGAATATTCCTACTCAAATGCTTTCAGTTATTTTAATAGGTTGAATATTGGACCAATTTTATATAACTTGCTTACAGCGCCAGACTGAATTTTCTTGTTATGCAATATATGTTATAAAATGCTATATAAAACGGTTAAGTTAAACTATATTATCATGTTTTATATATTTATCTTACTGCGGATCACCAGTGATCCGCTACGGTGCTGGAGTGTATTTGATCTATCTCATGCTTGTATTTTATTTATCTTTTATCAAAGTCAGTCGTTTCAATTATTTTAATTTTGTTTTTCTAGTTCAATTATTTCTTTCATTCGTATTGAATCTGTCCAACAATCAAGTAATGATATCCATTATACTCCTATACAATGCAATTGATTTGCATTTCATATCCCATATTTATTTTCTTAGATTATCCTTATAATTAATATGCGAAAAATTATACCAAAAAAGTTATGTTATGTTATATTCTATAAAAATTATACTAATTCATTTTTCCTTTGTCTGCTGTATTTGGATACGATACATCGCAATATGCATATTTAACATGTACATAGTTACTAATGAAATTATTTGAATATGCTCTATGACACATTAGTTTTTTTACATCATTATAATATCAGTACAGACAATATTGAAAATTTAATTAAAATTAAATTAGCAATATTGTCATTGATATTATAATTATTAAATTATAATTATTAAATTTAAATATAAATATTACTTATTATTTATTTGAATTAAATGCTTTTATATATTAATCTTGAGATCGCCAGTCACCGATGACTTCCCACGATATTATTGGCAAGTTGAGTGCCGGTCACAAGTCACCGCTACGGTACTCAACATGTTAAAAATCATCACACATACTTTCCGTAAGACGTAACAATAAGGTTTCAACCATAATCGCGTTGCTAGCTTCAAATGTTTACGGACAGCCGAAACGAACAACACGATTGATCGAAATCTTACTGTTACGTCTTAGAATGTGTATAGTAACCTGAACCGAGTTGCGTGGGCTCTGCGTGTTTATTTTCCTGACATTTGCATGCCGCAAAAGACTGTTCAAGCAACTAAATGAGTCTCGGGAGTCGTAGTCATTTTATGTAATTTTATCCATTTTAATCTTCAAGCAAATTTATCTTTAATCTTTAATCGCGATAACAGAGATTCTTTCTGACAAACAAGTTATCGTCTAATTATAAAAGTTATCCAGTTATATAATCTAAGGTTCTTTTTTCTAGAGCTATGTTTATGATTACATAACGATTAAATAACGTAAGATATTCCCATAATATACTATTAACAAATATCCACACGTTATCAAGTACTGTGATATATTTTTGTATATGACACGATGCAGAACTTATTTTGAATTGCATCAACAACCATTGAACAATAATGTATCCACTATTTTCGTTCTTCATTACAATTATATTTAAAAGTAATTAGTCATCTTTCATTATCGCGATACAATTACAATTGTGTTACTTATTCTTTTAAAAAATTATATTATTATTGTTATTATATTATATTTATAATTAATATATTTTATTGTATTATATTTAGAATTTTCCATATAATAATGTTTACAATATTATCACATAATCAATATTATTATTATCGTGTTATTAATTGTGATATAGGTAGCAGATAAAAATGATCATTGTTATAATTATCACTCACAGGCATAGTTATAATTATCATAGCCATATTTTGCATTAAGTGTTGTTGTACACACGAATGTTGTAGCCAATTACCTCTTTATTCTCATACAGTAGTATAGTTAAAATAATTAATTATTATAAATACATCTGTTTCCTCTAGTAACAAAAATACTTACTTTTCTAGATGATCTGTCACTTTTTCAGAACGGTCTGCTTTTAAAGGCCGATAAATATCCGATTCCTCCAAATCTCTTTTCATGCTATTCGTAAGTAATTCCTTCGTCCACCTACGTATAGCAAAAATAATAAATTGAATAAATTATTAAAACTCTCGCTCTAAGATGAAATCTGAGAAACTTTACGATATATTTAGAGGGAGACCTAAAATGCTTTTATTTATTAACATATGTAATTCACATTTGTTGAATGTTGTCAATTTACACAATGTTGTGAAGGAACAATATTTTCTTCCATCAATAAGAATAAAGCTGCGTAATGCAGAACATTGAAGTTTTAGATATTTAGATATTTTTTTACGGACACATTGTATACATAATTTACATTGCAAATTATTGTAATGATACCATTATTATTAATAATGTTACTATTAGTTATTATTAGTAATGTTACTTGTGAATTAGCTTCGAATGTGATTTGGAAAATACGAGAAAGTAATATGGCGTATTTTCTAGAACATAACACGATATAATAATTCTTGCCTATTTGAAATATGAATGATTTGTAAAGCATGAAATATAAGTAATGTTCCAACGGACGTCTTAATCGATTCGTTATGCAAATAAAAAGGATAAGAACATGACTAGACAAAATACGAATTGCATGTTGGTTTCATCATTTCGAGAAATTTTTCATCAATTTCTTGGACTAAATAAAGTAAAATATGGGATAAAATAAATAACAGTTTTTACTTTTTCACAAGAAGAAAAACGAAGATCTCTTGCTAAAGAAATTTTCCTTTGACTTGAAAAATATCTTCTCAGAAAAACAAGATTTTACTTTGAAGAAATATAAATACTTTTTTTTATTTCTTCAGAAAATAACACTTTTTTGAGGCGGAAAAAGAATGCTTTTTAAGTCATTTTCTTCATTACAGTAAATGGAAAAATTCTCTTATCCGTTTTTTTCCGAAAAGGAAATGAAAGATAAACTATACGAAAAACGAACCAGAAAAAAATCTGGCTGAAGAAATTCGCAGTTTCCTGAGGATTCTGCTTCATGTTATTTGAATCCGTATCCATTGTCTCACTTTTAATCTCAGAGTTTTAAAAATCACACAAAAACTTCCAGACCGCCAAGAAGAGGTCAGAACAAACGAAGTGGCATTCTATTTTCTTTCTAACTTTTTTCTTTCTTCCTTTTCACTTTTTTCACTTTTTTCGAATTACTCCTTCGAAAGGTGATACCTAACTAAAGAACATGACTACCATTACAAGTATATGATTGCTGGTTTCTACATCCCCTCCAAATATACCAAGTCTACTGATAATGCAGGTGCATCACAAACGCTGACAACGGTTATCTTTTACCTTGAATACACAAATGCGCGCCATGGTATACGTTTTGTTATTGTTTTGCTAAAACTATTTCGGAATTAATTTTATCAATTTATTTATTTAATATCACATATTTTGCAAGGAATAAAAAAATATAAAAGATGATCTACTATCGCGTAGATCCCTCCTTTTTCCTCATATCGTAGTACATTTTCATTGATTGTCTCGTATAATTGATTTATTTTATTCAATATATTTACATTCCATCTCTGCAAATTTCTTTCTCGGACCATCATCTGCTTTCAAGCATTTTCTGTTGCGAGAGATAACTCAGGCTTTTATATATTATTATTCAATTTATTTATTTTATCTTTTTTTAGCTTCTATCGGTAACAACTCACATGATAACAACTTTTTTTACATATTAAATGGTATTTATTACTTTACGTTCATCCGTATATTTTTTCTGCCTATACCTACCTATAAAATCTTTTATATATATATATATTCGATAAGTGATACTCTACATTTTTAAAAAGCGAGAAATAGAAGTTCGAAAAATTTAATTGAAGGTTTGGTATATAAATCTATATATATATATATATATATAATGATGTTACGTTTCACCATTCTTGTCAATATAAGATTGCTTGGCCACTTTTACTAATTGTTCATACAAATTACTTTTTTTTGCCAGTGAAGTAAATTGACTATGACTATTTTGCAATAATATATGAGGATGGTCGTATTCCTGTAAAACAAAATAGAAAAGAATTATAATTTGGCATCAACTATTATCAGGATACGAGCTAATTTTGTTAAGTCATCGAGCTAAAATTCCAAATTTCAAAGACCTTCGAAGTATCGAGATTTAAAGAAAATTATACGCACAATCATACGACCTTTATCCATTACCAGGACCTTGTCGCTGTCTATGATGGTGTTCAATCGATGCGCTATTGTGAGCATCGTACAGGTGGTGAATTTTTTTCTAATAGTGCGTTGAATTAACGAATCTGTATGTAAGTCCACGTTCGCGGTCGCTTCATCCAACATTAATATACAATTATTCCTTAGGATAGCTCTCGCCAAGCAGACTAATTGCCTTTGTCCAACGCTATAGTTGTTACCTCGATCAACTACACGACTTTCTAACCCGTTTCCAGTACTGGTAATTGCGTCTTTTAATTCGACCTGAAACAATGTTGCAAAAGCATCATTTTAATATCCACCATTTGCTAATTTGAAAAACATAGACGCTGAACTCTTCAGAACTTTAAAACCTTAAAGACGTTTCGATCTGGGAATCTTGAAACATTATGACCTTAGAACTTTGAAGTCTTTAGAATTTTAGATATTCAAAATGGAACTTTTATAATTTCATGCCTGTTTCTGAAATCTCGAAATCTTAGCGCTTTATCATTATTATTATCGAGTCAAATATTAATTGTCGACAAACCTCTTCGAGCGCATCCCACAAATATTTATCTGAAAATTCGTTAAAGGGATCCAGATTATGTCTTATAGTGCCTGAGAACAAAATTGGGTTCTGAGGGATAATAGACATCTTGCGTCGCAGGTCTTCCAAGGCTATCGAGCCCGTGTCCACCCCGTCGATTTCGATTATACCCTCAACTTTCGCCAATCGTAACAACGCTGATATCAGCGACGATTTTCCTGCGCCAGTTCTTCCCACGATACCAATCTGCATAGCAAATTGTATTTGAAGCATCCTAATCACCGTTTCTTTTTTTAATTGTTACTTTCTCAACGGAACAATTGAAATCAGAAAGAGCGAAATAATGAATCCATGAGAACTAATGAGCGACTAAGAAATTATCGAAACTACACTGATTTCTGTCTCTTCCTTCTTATACATCCTGCTCTCTGCAGGATTCACATATGATCGTCGAAAAGAAAAGCTTTTGAATATCTCAAATATGAAGAAAATCGTGTTGAATTCTCAAAATAAATGACGATTCCCTCGCTTGCTATTTTCATTTGTCCGTTCCTCGTTGATTTCTCAGATAAGAATCTATGCTACCTTTGCTATGTTTAGCAAAGCAGAAGATTTAAAATTCGTATACCTTCTTTCCTGCAGGAATCACGATGTTCAGTTCTTTGAGGATAGGAATCTCGTCCATGTAACACATGTCGACGTTCTTGAACTTGATGTTGCCCTCCGAAGGCCAGTTCTTAGGAGCGTTGGCTGGCAATACCAGGTCCTGCTTACCCTTCTTCCTCAAGAATACTCCTCTATCCCTGAGATTCGGTTCCGGTAGCAGCTGAGTGTATTCGATCACACGTTTCACCGCCATCAATTGGTTCGCTGTCTCCGCATTTTGCCTCATCCCAAATTCTATGTAAATGCATATCATTGCAATTTGCGTAATTACCAATCCCACCTCGCTGCCGGTATATGCTGAAAGACACACACGTTCCATTTCGTTATTTAATTCTACCGACTTGTATTCTCCCCTGTAACGGCTCAGTGGATTTGATAATTCATGCGAAACATTAATATAAATTAATTGTCTACATCTTAGAAGTGTAAATATTTAAAAGTGGAGTTAAGAAGTGCCAAGAGATGTTGTAAAGGACAACCTATTGAAGAGATTCTTACAGTCACTCCTTAGTAAAAAGGTGAAATTGGTGATGCAGGTCAAAATGAAGCAGAATACATCCAGACAGAACGAAAAAGCTGTGATCGTCACGATATGCATGTACGCGCTGGATGTGTGTAGATCCTGTAGCTTGCCGAATTCTTCTATAAGTATCGGTTGGACGTGATATGCTCTGATGGTAGACAAGCCGTTTAACGTAACGTTTATATGAGTGAATACCGGTGAGCATGCTGACAACATAAAGAAAACACAAAGAAAAACATAATAATTAAACAAATAACGAAAAAAAAACATAGTGTATTTAGAGAATTAACAAACTATAAATATATGCGATTTTGATTCGAGAAAATATCATAGAAATAAAGAAAAATTACGAAAATACAAAAGCAAAAAATTGCAAGTCAAAGTCGATCGAACTTAGCATGTCTCAGACGTACTTATTCCTTCCAAATATTTGATACTCTTGCTGGTACTGAGGTACATATTTTTTAATCGGTAGAGTATCATGAACATCAGTGCGATAACCACGATGAAGATCGGATCAATTATACAGGTTAATAATAATGAGCCGATTATTGAGAAATTCAACTGGCTAGCGTCAAAAACTGCTTTAGGCAAATATTCGTCAATAGCGCCCATGTCCTTGGAAAACCTGTTGAGGATGCTACCACTCGAGTTGGTGTCGAAGAAACGCAGATCCGTATGAATCAGCGCGTTGAACATTAGATCGTGTAGACGTTGACTGCACATCAAGCATACCTTGTAAAACAACAATGATCTGATGATGGCGATGACGAAGACGCTCAACACGATACCTGTATAGATGTAAATATACGTAGTCTCTGGTAATATGTCCATATCGAGACTCGTTGCGTTCATGGAAACGTTCGTTTGGTTAGCACTCTCGAGATTAGCTAGATATTGCCGTTCCTTGGCGTTGATCCTAAGAAAAAAAAGAAAATCATATAACGGCGACTGTGAAGAAGTCGAAGTTGATAAAATTAATTGGAATTTATTCAGAAAAACGAAAAATATTTTCGAGAAAATATTGAAAATTATTTCGAGGAAGTATTAAAAATTGAAAATTATAACTTATTCTTTTACTTAATTATACTTAATTTACTTAATTATCATAATATAGAGATATACTCACAAAACGGACACAAAGTAGTCGTTGAAAATAATGGAGAACTGTGTGCTGATAAACAAGAACAGAACTAAGCTAGCTATGTATAAATTGACACCAATTTGAAAGTATTTGACAAAGAGAGAGCCTTCTACTTTGCTGGATTTCTCGATATTGGCCTCCTGCTTCGCAGCATTTTCGTTTTCCTTATCGTCCTCCATCTCGCTCATTTTCAAAGAATTACTCTATTAAAATAGTAATACAGTGCGGGAACATTGAATCAAGTTGTGTATTACCATATATATGTGGATTTAACATATACCGCGCAACTTTAATTCGAATATTTAAATTTTGTATTTTTACTTTGTATATGCTTTCGTCATATTGACGTTGAAACAATGATTTTGTATTTTGTATTTTGTATTTTCACTTACTCTAATACTCCCAGAAGAGAACTGTCGTTCTTTTGTTCCCTTTTGCACAGATAATTCGTCGCTCTTCTCGTTTTCCTCCGATAAGAGTACATCGAAGTCAGATTGATAAGTCAACAAGTCTTGATAATGCGAGAAATATTTTATCTTTCCTTGTTCAAGCAATATAATGCCGTCTGCTTCCTTTATATACTGTAATTGATGCGTCGTCAAGATTGTTGTTCTTCCGGCCAGATATCTCTTGATGCAATTGTGGAACAGGTGTTTGCTCACATGTGCGTCGACCTGGAATTTTTACTTTTGTCAATGATAAACGACAAGTGAGCTGATTAAATGAAATATCATAGTTATTCACCGCACTCAAAGGGTCATCCAATAGATAGATATCCGACTGCCTGTACAAGGCTCTGGCCAAGTTAACCCTAGCCTTCTGGCCACCAGACAACGAGCTACCTCGTTCACCTATGACGGTTAGATCGCCCTGCGGAAATTGCTGGAAGTCCTTCAGCAGAGCGCAGGCCTTAATCACTCTTTGATAATGTCGATGGTCGTATTCCTCTCCAAAGAGGATATTCTGTCTGATGCTCGAGCTGAATATCCAAGCCTTCTGACTAACGTAGCTCACGCTACCGTTGACCTTTGTTTCTCCATTTACCAGACTGATCTCGCCTAAAATCGCGTTTAGTAAGGAACTCTTTCCGCTACCCACTATGCCGATGACCGTGTACAATTTGCCTTTCTCCATCTCCAAATTCAAATCTTCCAATATGTTCTCCGATTGGCTGGTCTCCCACTTGATGGTGACGTTAGTCATTTTAATCGCCCAATTGTGCACGACAGTCACTTCTTTTTCTGTAAACAGCGAATTCTGCGCTGTATTCCTTTGATGAGAATATATCACATGAAGAAAGTAGAAAAGAATGGTCCAAATTAGAAAGGAAATGGTAAAGTGTGTGTGTGTGTGTGTGTTTCCCAATTCCCGATCTTTTCCTTGGAAACTTACTCATAACAGACCCATTGGAATCGGCTATAATGGCGACCGATGTATTCCGCTTCTGCTTCTCCTGATTGTCGTTATCGTCCAGAACCTCGCGGTTTTGCATATCGCTATCGATGGAAGATATATCTTGCTCGTTGATCTTGTCGAATTCTGTATGAATCTTATCGTTTGCCATATGTTCACTGGATGGCTGTTTGCAGACGATGATGTTGCTACTTTGATACTCCTCGTGCATGAGGAAGTGTTGGAGTCTTTTCAAGGTGACTAAGCACTCACTCAGCTCGCCGATGCCTCGCACCAACATACTGGATATGCTGTGGGAAAGGATGTTGAAATAGGACATTACGATGAAGACTTTGTCGGCGGTTAGATTTTGACTGAATATGAGTAGTGGAATAAGCGTGCCGTAGAGCGCTAGCCTGGCCGTGAAGATGTGGAAGGTCATGTAGATGCTGCGTATGTACGCGCTCCTGATGGTCATTTGCAGCTCGAGCTTGCGGGCTAGCGCGATCACGGCGCAGAATGGCTTCTCCCAGGCATACATTTTGATCACTTGCATCCCAGAGATAATCTCATCCATCAGCCAGACCCGATCGTCGGTCCTGATGACGGTTTTCAATCGGAACTTCGCCATTAACTTGGAGGTGCAAGCTGAAATCGCGAGACCATGTGAATCTTTCGTGCCAAAAGGATTTCGTGCGTTTTACTACGAAGGAAAGTAGAATAATGACGGGGAGACTTACCTTGAAACTGCATGATCATGAAGATAATAGCCATGCCGATAAAACAGTAGTACCCGACTTCCAAGTAGAGAATATACATTATGATAAGCGAGAAAAAAGGCCCTGACCACATGTATTGGGAAAGTAGGGGGATGTTATCAAACCTATTGACGTCGTTAGCTATCAAGTTGACTACTTTGCCCGGCGCCATTTCTGCCAACGCTATTTTGTTCAATCGCAGGGCCTACAAGACACACACACACGAGAAAATAATTAGATAGATAGAAGATTCAAATGATTCATGCATGATTCAGAGTAATGTAATTTACTTGCGACGTAGTGCTATGTAAAAGAAGAAGCGATTCGCAAGAATTACATTGTGACAATTTAGCGTCGGTTAATTGATTCTCATTAAAAACGATCAATATTAACTCAATTGTTGGACACTTGGACATTCCAAGGGTTATCAATGTGCCGACACTTGAAGAAACCTTTATGCGTCGCGATTATATTTCTAAAGTGCTTCATCGTAATTTTCTCCACTTTCTTCCGCTTCTCCTTTGAATCGAGAATCCTCGGGATTCGAAGTAATTCATCATTTCCACAAATTTCGCTTCAGATATGATTCGGTGCATAATGTTGAAACATCCGTAAGCCAATATGAGATATGATAGGTGCCTTACTGACCTTTCGATACACAAGAGAGCACAGAGCCACGCGAATTTTCATGCCTATGTAAAAACCGCTGTATAACATATAATTGGCGATTATCGCGTTCAGGGCGACCATCATGGAGATTCCAGCTCCGCACCATAACGCGGTCTCCATGGAGATCGTCTTCGCAGAATCCCCGCGGAAGTAGAGTAGCAAAGTTCTCAGCAACATTGGTGTGTACAATCTATGAATCGCAAATTGCGCACATTGATCTGCCCGTCGCAGGGCGCTCGTGTAATTTTATGCCGGACGAATTTGATTGATGTCTTTGTTATTTCTCCTTCAACGAAGAAATTACCTAATGAAGAATTCAACGATTAGCTGCATCAGCGCGAGATGGGCGAATTCCGATAGGAATGTGCGAACGACGGTCTTCAGTAGGCTCGGCATGCGCTTCTGCTTCTTTGAGTTTTCCAGCTCAATAGTCCATTGTCTAAAATCAAAATAAAGTCAAAATACATCAAAATAAATCAAAATATTCTCCATAAAGCTGCCTCTTTCTTTTCTACCGCAAAGTGGCGCAGAGAATATAGCTCGACTTTTCTTTATCTATTCCTTTTTCTTTTGGAGAACAATCTCATGTGAAAGAACAAATAGTCTTTCTTCGCTTTCTCACTGCAGCATTCTGATGCTCACTTTTCCAATCGATCACCTAATGCATTCGATCGGTCTTCCTTTAAAGGTTCGTACAAGTCCTCCATGTCTAAGGATTTTGTGTAACCCTTTCGAAAGAGGTCGATGGTCCACCTGATTCAATAAGCAGAGATTTATACGCATTAAATTTCAGAATGCTCAGCGTCTTATCTGCTTGAATACAGCGTGATACAGCGGGACAGAGTAAAAAGTCATAGAATTATCACTGTGTAGCACACAGTCTTACGATAACATATGCTTTGCGTTAGGATGGAAAAAACACAAAATTATCTTTATGGACGGACTAAACTCAGTTTAAGATTTAAGTTTAAGGCCGGTTTCGGGCCGAAGATAGTTGTTAGTGTTGCGCAGAATATATCTGTACATTTATTACGCCTATGACAAACGATATAATCATCGACAAGCGATGCAATCGTTGAATTATGAAAAGGCCAAAAAAACCGAATGAATCCATATCCGAAGTTTTTACTCGTTTTTCCAGCTCAGTTCGCTGAGACGCGTTTGCCTAGAAGAGATTAAAAAATTTCAAATTTAGCGAAATTCGGCGGATCTCGCGAATGAGAAAGAGCCGCCGAAGGAAAATTTATGAAAAATCGTTTCAGTCGTATTCGTGAGCTGAAGAATCGCGCAACTTACCACCACAACAACACCGATACGATGTTCGCGTTCTCCCTCGGATTCGGCCTTGACTTCGTTCTTGTTGAGTCCATCGTTCCTTATGTACGGCATTAACGCTTCGCGAGCTGCCACTTCGATGTGACAATTAGATCAATCACTAGTAGTCAGTCAATGAACAGTCGATAGGTAACAATGTAATCGACAAATTTCCTGCAATTTTACATCACACTCAAATCCTCTTCTGCGTTATTTTTAGTTTACGATATCGTTGTACTTTCTTCTCAATTAACTTAATTTATAATAAATCAACAAATCAGCAGATTCGACATCAGCAATTACGAAGTTGTCCTGATTTTTATTGATGCAGATGTCGACCAAATGAACTTTACCTCTGAGAACAAAGCTAAGGTCGACCGATAAGAGGAAGGAGAAACCAAGGTAAAAAACTAAGAGCGCGTTTTCGTCAAGTAGAATAACCCCACGCGAACAATACTACAAAAGACTACAAAAGCTAGGTTGAATCAGAATATGAAAAATAGATACGTAATGTGCGGTGTAAAATCGTACATTATAATGTGCAATTTTCGAGATATGCAATATAAATCATCTCGGGACTGTTCATCGATATTACGAAATGATCGAGTCAATCGAAGCTCATTAAACAATTACATCCTCTTAATCAATCAATCAATTCTGAATCGATCAATTATAAAATAATCAATCAGTGTATCTCTCCACTGAATTGTCAAATGATTCAACATATAAGAGACACACCTCACTTCATCAACGAGATAATCATATAGCTTTCGTGATTTATAAGATAACGATTCACTAGGTACTCCAGAACGCTACGTACATTTGAATTTAGAATGGCAGTCGACAGTCTATTGTTCACATTGATACTAAAATACTTTAATATTCGAATCGATTAACCTGGCGTGCTCTTCGCAACGATTTTCCTGATGAAGACACTCACGAAAAGTTTGGTCGTTTGATCGCACGCGTTCGTCGGTGAATAACGTTCGCAATCGTCGTTCCGTTGAATTTCAACAACTCCACGCGCGAAACCGGGATATCTATTACATTCAAATTTGTTTGCTTTGTTTCAAGCACAATCAAGCTACGGCTTATCGTTAAGAAGAAACGGGGATAATTACTAAAGATAATGATAATTTGTGTTTGCGGATGAGCTATAAAATTTACGCAACTATTAGTATCTGCACATTGAAAAAGAAAATCTTATTAAGCATGTGTAAACATAAAAATATACGACTGTAATTAAAATTGTTATCACATTTAATTAAATTATCGCGTTTCTGTAAACTTTATATCAATTTGATATAAATATTTTATTATAGCACATGGCAACTCGTTTGTTTAATTTTCTTTCCATCTTTTTGCTTTCTTTTTTCAATCATCGACGGAACTCTGAGTCGTCGTGACGCGCCTTTTAATATTGTTAAGATATATGTGTGAAGGTTATTTAAACCTGCTTCTAGTGTAATTACTGGTCACAGCATAATTTTTAAATTTCGAAAATTTCGAAAATTTCGAAAATATTTTAAGGCTTCATTTCGATTGCAATAGAGTCTAATTAGAAGGCAACCTGCTGTCTCTTGTTACAGTCTAACATTTATTACACAGTAAATATTTTCTTATATTATGATAATACAATCGAGTTATTTTTCTTTTCTTACTTTTTAGTTTCTATTACATAAGATACAAGGACAAAAATGTAATCGCTGAGAGAGTAATTTCCATTTCAATGACAGACACGGCGCTATTGTTCGCCCCGCGTTCAAGACCTCGTTAGATCATGAGCTCATCGTTCTGGTCTGAGTAAACAGAAATATTACATTGAGTAGACAATCGCGATAATTTTTTTCTCCAAACGTTACTCCAAATAGATATTTTATTTTCTATATGGCGCTTGAGAGAAAACGAATTTTTAAGAAATCGCATATAACGTATATCTAATAAAATTTAACACTAGAAGATATTGTGTGAACAATCGGTTAATAGCAGAAGGAAACATTTACAGCTTAATCTAAAATCTCTACTGTTCCTTGAAAAAATAGCCCGACAGTTGCAAAATAAGTAACTTTTTATTGTCGACATATGCTTCCAGCAAGACCAGTGTATTTTCTCGTGTAGGCGAACCAATAAAGTTCTCGGGAGCACTGAAATAGAAAATCTGTCATACATACACACAAGGCACTGTTTCACTGTTGTCTTTTATCTTTAAAGTGGCAAGAAGGATGAATGAATATCACACGTCGAAATACATTTTTATCAGCAATTGCCAAAAGTGCCAAAATTTTCGCGCTAGCTCTCTTTTATGTTTACGTTTGTTTGATTATGCTCCAGACTCCAGCTGACTCTTCCATTCTCATCATGATTAAATCGCCAATTAATAACGATATACCGTCACGTCACTTGTAGATCGAGAATTTTAAGGAAACTATATTGATTTACCGATAAGCATTTTTGCGTGATAACGTGCGATCGCATTCATTATTTTCAATCACGAACTTTAAAAGAAGGTTCGGTCTTCTGTTTCGGTCTCTTATTTGTCATAGACTTGTGACAACTGCGTTCAATTGCTACATATAATTGCTACAGAGTTGTCAGTATTGTAGTTAAGTCGGGTATATTCGACTCAACTCGTTATCTCTCGGCTTTATACGTGTTCATACTTTATTTACAATTAATATGAAATTTATCAACGGGAATTAGAAAAAGATATCAATCTTTAACTGATGAAACACAGCTGGAAATATCCGTCTTAATTTTTTTTATTTTTTTATCGTAAATATGTCAAGTTTGTTATCTGAGATTGCGTCAGTCTTTTGGCGCGAAGAACAACACGTAAACGTTGAACTTGCGTGTTTCTATCCATGAAATTAAACAAGTGCCGAACATTTCGGTTTTCATTAGATCCTCTTCAGTGAGGATCAAATATTTAGAGGTAATATGTATCGTCAAAATTTCTATTTGGACGAAGGTCGCACAGCTCATTCACACAATTTGAGAACACAAACAATAATCAATAATATCTCAAAAGGTTCATGTATACTATGCATTATGGGAGAGAAAGAGAGAGAGAGAGAGAGAGAGAGAGAGAAATTTTTCCTGTATAAAATAATATATTATATTTTTTATATACTTGCACATAACAATACTTACTGCATACATTACATACATCGCCTATTTATACAATTTTTTTGATGCTTATTTCGATATTTCCATCGTGCTAATATTGCATCAATAAATGCCAGTAAAACATATTAAGTTCCATCTCTCACGTCTGTACATAATAGCAAAAGTTAAGTATATAGTCTTGTGTCGCTTTCGAGCTGACTTGGAGTATTTGTTCATACATTCAATCAATTTTATCGCTATACAAAATGAACTGCATAAGTCGCTCGTCGCGTGAATCTTGACATCTTCGTTAAAAAATAGAAAAACTTGGAAAATTATGGATCGTGATTGCTACAATTATTAAAATAACTATTAAAATAATAATTTTATTTAATTGTGGCGATTATTATTAACAATTATCAATTATTATCAATGATTTATCGCTGATGAATGTAATTGGCAGAATCTGCAACAAAGATAGAAATTGTGTTCATGTGTCTTCGACGTCTCAATTCTAATCCCTAAAAAGAGGCGAATTTTGTGATCTTGTTAACCATGAAGTGGTAGGTTGCTTAATACAATGACAAGTCATTTTACTCATAGCACTAATACGAGGTGCACTAATAATAGGTGTAGTAATAATTCGCCCAAATCTGCGTCTTAACTATGGCAAAATGCTAAATCGAAACGTTCGAAGCAAGAACGAGTTACTTTCTGCAATTGGGAAGATAAATCATCACGTTTAAAATAATTTTTATCGTATTCACACACAGTTCGCAGTTGTCGCTTAGAACGGCTAGTCGACGTATGTCCGTCTTATCACAAGAGATATTATTATAGAGATATCTGTGGCTTCCGGAAGTACATAAAATATAGAGTAGAAAAATATAAGTACTCGAATACTTGACGTTCGCAAGCAACGTTATACTTTCGGCAAATTCCGATGCAAGATCGTAAATAACCTCGCAATGTGTTGGCGCTTCGTTGAACACGATATAAAAATATGATTCTTCTTATACGTTGGAGAAAGAGAGAGAGAGAGAGAGGTATGTTTTAACATTATACTATAATGATACTATAATACTTAACAAAGCTTCGAGTCTTTCCCGGTCTTTGGGATGTTCCGAAGATAGGCGCGCAACATACCTTCGAATTTTTATCGAAATGCGAGGTGCATTTCACGCAGTTTCCATAACTCTATAACAATGTAGACTTCATTACATAATGTATAGCGATCTAAGACCTCTTCGAGAGGCATCGAATCTGCATATGTCGACAACAACAATGTCATTGAAACCATAGTTTGTGCTCGATTTTCATCCGCATTCGCATAATCATAGATCTTTCAGTTGAACAGTTGAACAGTTCAGTTGTTCACTTGAACACGTTGTATAATTTTTTTTTTATTACAAATATATATTTAATACATTGAACGGTCCACTTGCACCCCAGTTACATCAAAGAGATCAAAGCGGAAGCTTGGCTGGTAAAAATTTGATGTATAGCTTCAGCTGCGTTTCGTTATGTTTCTCCATACTTGTCGTGATAAGATTGTTTTGCTATTTTGACCAGTTGATCGTACATAGCTCGACCGGTCTCCTTCACCAACGAAGTAAATTGACTATGGCTGTTTTTTAGTAATATATGAGGATGATCGTATTCCTAAGGAAATGATTATTAAAAATTACACTTCAGTGATTATATCGACAGCTTGTCGTAATTATTACGACAGCGTTAACTGCGATCGCTAAGTCTAATGGTAAAGCATTAATAGACGTTACTTGAAACTTATCTTACGTGAAACACTCAGGCTTGAATTTAGAGTCGACTGAATTATTTTGCTATATTATACCACGTAATTGCTTCAAAGATTTATTTAATTTTACGCCAAAAATTATGATCTCGATTACACACAGTCGCGTCATATCAAAATTATCAGAACGTAAACTGCGATCGTCGAGTAGTGAAATTCCAAGTTATGAAGAAGGCTGTTACTTACAACTAGACGACCTTTATCCATCACCAGAACCTTGTCGCTGTCCATAATAGTATTCAATCGATGCGCCACGGTGAGCATCGTGCAGGTCGCAAATTTCTTCCTGATTGTCCGTTGAATCAACGCATCTGTGTATGGGTCCACATTCGCGGTTGCCTCGTCCAACATCAGTATACGATTGTTCCTCAGAATTGCTCTCGCCAAGCAGACCAATTGTCTCTGACCGACACTGTAATTGCTGCCGCGGTCGAACACGCGACTCTCCAAACCATTCCCGACGGTCACGACTGCGTCCTTCAGCTCGACCTGAAACGTGAGAGACATTAAATATCTCAATGTGTTAAGTTTTCTTAATCAATCGTTCAATCCAAAGACATTAAAATCTTGAGATTTCCAAGTCTATTATGATCTTAAAAATCTTGCGACCTTGAGAAGTTCGGAATGTTGGCTCTATTGAAAATCGAAAGATTGGAAACTTTTAGCCTCTTTCAGAGTCTCAGTTTCTTAAAGTTTCAGGATTCTTTTATTTCGGGAACTCGGGATTTCCGAACGTTGCGACTTCGCAATAAGAGTTTTGTACAGTTGGCGACTGACCGACTACATGCATACAATTTTCAAGTTAAAATTCGCTTATATTGACGAACCTCTTCGAGAGCTGCCCACAAGTTGCAGTCGGGGAATTCGTCGAAGGGATCCAAATTACGCCGTAAGGTGCCCGAGAAGAGCACTGGGTCCTGAGGGATGATGGATATCTTGCGTCGTAGGTCGTCCAAAGCGATCGTACCCGTGTCCACACCGTCGATTTCGACAACACCCTCTATTTTCGCCAGTCGAAATAGCGCAGCTATCAGCGATGATTTTCCCGCGCCCGTTCGTCCTACTATACCGACCTGTACGATAATTCCATGACACTTCATTTCATCTCTTAATTACGTTTGCGCTTTGTTTACATTTAGACTTTTTCGATGAGACAAGAATTAAACGGAATTCCGAGTCTAAGATCTGTGAAAGAAAAATTTCGAAATCGTTGCAGTTACATTTAATTTCAAACTCTTCCCAATGAATCCTCCTTATTTCGTTTTCATTTGTTCCGTTTGTTTGCTGAATTTTCTGAGAGAGAATCTTTCGTTACGTACGAATTTCCTTTTCTCGATAATCTGCATACCTTTTGTCCGGATTGAATCACTATGTTCAATCCTTTGAGAACAGGTGGATGATCGTCCGCATAGCGCATAAAGACGTCCTTGAACTTGACATAGCCTTTGTTAGGCCAATTTGACGGAATGGGGGCTGGCAACGCAACATATTCCTTATCCTTCGTCTTCAGACACAACCCTCGATCTTTGAGATTTGGCTCCGGCTTAAGCTGAATATACTCAAGCACACGTTCCACCGCCATCATCTGGTTCGTCACTTCCGCGCTTTGTCGCATACCCCATTGAATGATTTGAGTTATGGCCATTACTTGCGTGATAGCCAATCCGACAGCGCCGCCGGAAAATGCTGGAAAACACGCGAGATGTTTTTTTTATTCGGCCGATTCAGTAACCGAAAAGCAGGCAGAAATAGAAGGAAAAGAAATTTGAAAATATTTATCTAGAAAACTAGAACTCTCACGAGTCACTTACACTCATTCAGTATTAGGAAACTGAAGGTGACGAGCGACGTAAAGATGAAGCAAAATACGTCGAGGAAAAATCCAAATGCCGTACTCGTCACGATGTACATGTAAGTGGTGGACGTGTGTTGATCTTGCAGCTTGTCAAATTCTCGTTTCAGTATGTCTTGGGCGCAGTATGCTCTGATGGTCGTCAGCCCGTTCAAAGTGGCGTTTAAATGAGTGAATACTGGTGAGCGCACTGTGAAATCAAAATTACGCTAATAACAAAAGCCATCGCGTCTGTAAGGAATGAATCGGCAAATTGGAGGTCATCAGAACTCTCGAGTGAAACATAAATTCGAGAAAAGGGTAAAATAAATATTACGAAAGTACAAACGATGTGAACTGAATTTTAAAAGGACAATGCCCTGTTCCCACGGCCGATATAACGCAAGAAGAAATATTCTGAGAGCATAATATTCGACCGATTAAAATTATTATTTGACGTTTGGCTAAGTGAAGGCAGGAGGCAGACGTACTGATTGCTTCTAGCCGCTTGATATTTTTGCTGGTCTTGAGGTAGACCTTTCTGATCCAGTAGAATATGAAGCCGATGATCGTGACGGGCGCCAGAAAGATCGGATTGATCACGCAGGTCACTATTACCGCGCCGAGCATCACCATGTTCATCTGGCCAGCGTCCAGAATTGCTTTAGGCAACAATTCATCGATAGTGCCCATGTCCTTAGAGAACCTGTTGAGGATCCTACCGCTCGGGTTAGTATCAAAAAAACGCATTCCCGTGCGAATTAGTGCACTGAACATCAGATCGTGCAACCGTTGACTGCACGTCATACACGTTTTGTAGAAAAACAAGGATCTGGTGATACCGAGGAAGAAGATGCCCAGCACGATACCGGTGTAGATGTAGATGTATGTGTGCATCGACAACGCGTTTGTATCAGAACTCGTCGCGTTCGCTTTGTCGTTATCCGTGCCGTTGTAGCTTTCAAGATTGGTCGGATAGTACCGATTCTCTTCAACGTTGATCCTGTAAGAAACGAATGAGAGAGAAATCGTTTAGCGATCGTGTACTTTGCGTAATGAGCAAACGAGAATATAAAAGTAAGAAATAAGCATGGGGGAATAACCGTTTCTTCGAGCGATTATTATTCCTTCAAGCACGTTGAAATTACAAATCCTATTGCTACTTTTTTCTTTGTTTGTAACGAAAGTTCCTTTTTACTCTTACTTTTCTGTGAAAATTGTTCATTTCTAAAGTTCAAACTTTAGCTTCAAAGCAATATGTGTCCTCTACTGCATTTCTTATTTCTGCATTCTTAAAGCGATTTTATCAATGAAATATCACTATCGGTATGTTGATGGATACTCACAAAATTGGCACAAAATAGTCATTGAGACTGACGACAAATTGCGTGATGATAAACATCAACAGAACGATGAAAGCTACACATAGATTGGCACCAGTTTGGAAGAATTTGATAAATATAGGACCCTTCACCATGCCACGTGATGTCTCTTCAAGACCGTCCCCTAGTTTCTCCTCATCTTCGTCATCTATCGCGTCTTCGTCGTCAGTGCCGCCACTGCTGGCTTCCGGAGTGCGACTCTGTCGAGAGGAAAGCTTCTTTGAGCGCAATTTTATGTCCCTAGTATTTTTAGATGTTACAACATAATTATGTCTAGGATTAACGAAAACGTTAAATAGTTAATGTTCACTCGAGCTTTCATCAGGGTGTTTCAAGTCCCGTGATCCTTACCCTGTTGCTCGCAGTAGAAAATTGCCTCTTCATGCTTCTTTCTATGGACGAGTCGTCACTTATCTCGGCACCGCTCATTTCAGTGCTGCTCTTTCCGGTGGATACAAGTTCTCCGTATTCTGGTCGATAATCCAACAGATCATTATACCGCGAGAAGTACTTCACTTTCCCTTGCTCGAGTAGTATTATGCCGTCCACTCCCTTGATATACTGCAGCTGATGAGTAGCCAGAATTCTCGTCTTTCTAGCCAGATATTTCTGTATGCTCTCTTGGAACAGGTGTTTGCTCACATGCGCGTCGACCTGAAGTGACGAAATAGTCATCAATCAATCTCGCTCACGTCGAGTCACGAGAAATAAAGTCGAGTCTACACAGTCTCTTTACTGATACAAGTCCGAGATTTCCGTAAAATAAGGCTTACTTTCATTACCAACATTATTATTATTATTATTATTATTATTATTATTATTATTATTATGAATTTTTCCATATTCTCATTAATCTTCAGATCTCCAAAAAATGATAAAAGAGCCAACAATTTTTCAAGGAAAAATTATGTAACGTTTGATAATTCCACACCCGGCAAGCTTCAATTAACGCCTCGGCTATTCTCACGTCACTCACCGCGCTCAAAGGATCATCCAACAGGTAGATATCCGCCTGCCTGTATAGAGCTCTGGCCAAATTGATCCTAGCCTTCTGACCGCCCGACAATGAGCTGCCTCGTTCACCTACAACGGTCTGATCGCCCTGCGGGAACTGCTGGAAATCCTTCTGCAGGGCGCAGGCCTTAATCACTTTCTGGTATCTGTGACGATCGTAAGTCTGGCCGAAGAGAATGTTCTGCCTGATGGTGGAGCCGAATACCCAGGCTTCTTGACTGGCGTAACTCATGCTGCCGTTTACCTTCACTTTGCCTTCTACTAATGTAATCTCGCCCAAAATTGCGGACAAGAATGAACTTTTGCCGCTACCAACCATACCGATCACTCCGTACAATTTGCCCTTCTCCAATTGCAGGTTCACATTGTCCAACGTGTTTTCTGAATGACTGATCTCCCACTTGGAGGTGACGTTAGTCATTCTGACGGCCCAGTTATCGTCATGTACAAGAGACCACCTGTTTTCTATAGAGATTAAGTAAAGTTTGCATCAGTGAGAATACTAAAGAAAAATGTTGAATTCTTCAGAAGAAAATACATCAAACTTGAGATTCAGGGAAGAAAACTTGAATTTCAGAGAAGTTGAAAAAAGAATATTTTTATTATCCGTATTAATTAATCTAATCCAGTATTAATTAAATCTGTTAATCTCGTCACACATGCGTCACTGCTTCTCAGATCTCGGAGAAACAATAAACGAAATCATAAAAAATGTTCTTATTAAATGAAATGCGTTGTTGCTCAATGAGATTATTTTTAATCGTCCGTTTATCGATTACATTTGTATTATTAAAAGATTGTTATCCTCTGTGTGCAAACCAGGCTGAGCTCCTACGCTCCAAGTCAACATAAGACAATTCGTCTAAGGCTAGTTTCTACGTTCACCTTCTATAATGTTGGCAGTGTTCCTCAATAAGTCGCTGGCAACAATCACCAGCCCGTTATGTTTCTTCAAGTCGACCTCCTCGCGGGCTTCATGGTTGCTCACCTCGTCGTCGATGTAAGGCAAGTCCTGTCTGGAAACTTTGTTTGAGATCTGCCGGTGCTCATTGATCCCACCGTTGTAGCTGTTGGATAGCATCTTAGAGACAACGATATTGTTGCCCTGAAACTCCTCGTACATGAGAAAGTATTGAAGCCTGCGAATTGCCACCATGCATTCGGCCAGCTCGGCGAAGCCTCGCACAAACATGCCGCACATAGTTTGTGCGAGGACGTTGAAATACGACGAGACAACGAAGACTTTGTCGGCAGACAGCTCGTGGCCGAACAGTAGCATGGAGATGATCGTGCAATAAAGCGCCATCCGAGTGTTGAAGAGGTTGAAGGTCATGTAGATACCGCGGATGTACGAGCTCTTGGTAACTACCCGCAGCTCCAGCTTGCGAGCCATCTCGACCAAGGCGCAAAACGGCTTCTCCCAGGCGTACATCTTGATCACCTGCACCCCCGAGATGATCTCGTCCATCAAGCGAACCCTCTCGTCAGTCTTGATGGCAGTCTGCAGCCGGAACTTGGACGAGAGCTTGCCGGTGTAGGCTGAAACCGCAAGAAACCGCAACTAGGTGAATCTTTCAGCTTAGGCTGAAACCATTTGGGCATTTGGCTGCGCAAAAAGTGGAAGACTGACATTGAATAATCTTAAGGATAATAAACTCACATTGAATCGGCACGACCACGAAGATCGCGGCGATACCGATGAGACCGGCGTATCCGACCTCCGTGTAGAGGATATAAGCGACGACAATGGCAGATAGAGGCGCCGACCACATATAATGGATGAAGATGGTGACGAGATCAAATCGATTGACATCGTTGGCCACTAGATTAACCACTTTTCCCGGTGCCGTTTCTCCCAGCGCGGTTTTACTCAGTCGCAACGCCTGCAAGACACTTAACGTACATACTTACAGTTACGTAACTGTGGCATTAATATGCCAGAGAATGGTAATGGGAATAATATAAAATGGGTAAAAGCTGTGAAAAGAAAATTTTCAGTAGCTTTCAGTGTCGCATAAACGCGAACACTTTCATTCGGTTTAAACCGAATGAACCGATATGATATCGACCTCTCGGTGAATAAAATATTTAGTAGAATGGTAAAACAGAAATAGTTTCGAAGGAGATTCTCCTCTGTTGCCAATTTGGTCAGTCAAATAGTTTGGTTCAATGTTTTGTCATTATTCGGGCTTCGTTGTACTCGATGAAAATGAATTATTCATTAATGATCATCAAGTAATCATCGTCGTCGCTTACGATTCTTCGCCGACAGTTCGCTGTGACAGTATTCGCATATTTTTACCGTAGGCAGTGACCTGTTCGTCGTTATGTAAGCGAGACAATGAAACCAGATTTCTCGGGTTAGTTTCTTCGCAGAAATTACTAGGCGCAGAAAGCTACGAATACTATGTGGCAGTTCTTTCTTATAATTCAAGGATCGCGCGTGGTGAAAAATGCGTGGTGAATATATTATTCGCAAGTCGCGGTTCGGCGATCTACGCGCGACTTCGGCTTTATCCTGCGCGCACGCAGGATTTGTGCGATCGCACAATTTGCAAATTGATCATAAAATTAGTAATCTGCCTGTCGCTCGCGATTACTCGCTTGTTCTTACCGACCTTTCTGTACACCACGGAGCAGACGGCCACGCGAACTTTCGCGCCTATGTGGAACGCATTGAAGATCGTTTGATTGCCGCTTAACACGTTTACCGCAGTCGCCACGCAAATCCCAGCCGCGTAACACAGGGCGACTTCGTACGTCAGTGTGGAATCCTTGCGGAAATATCGTAGAAGACCTCCCAACAGCAACGGCGTGCCTAACCTGAGAATCAAGTGCCTCTCGTCGTTAACTTGTATCATCGCTGGATATCGTTTTGCGATTCTGATTGTTTTGATTTGCGATAAAATTATCGTCAAGACATAATTATCGTCAATAATAACACATTATTATCGCATTACGCTCTCGATAAACGTAAGAATGTTCGAAGGCAGACGCCTTTTAGATAGATTTTCCAAGTGCCACTTGAAGTTCTTCATTTCAACATGTTATCACTCGATGAACAAACAGATAATCATATCTGATAAGAATCATTACGTGTGCGATACAAATATTCGGTTGCTTGAAAATGTAGTTTGTGAACACGAGTTTATGCTCACTATCGTTACCTGTCCCGGGGCCATTAAGCAATTCGGTCTCTCTATTTAAGGCTATTTGAGATTTTGCTCGTGTAGTTTTTGGAGTTCGTTCACCGTTTGTGGCCTTGGACTCTATACTTGGTCTAGTTTTTCATCAATTGCGTTCAAAATCACTTCGTCGTTCGACGACGAGATAAGGAGATCGAAGTGAATGATAGAAGAATACCTTATCACGAATTCGTTAAGAATTTGCACCAATCCCAGCATGGAGTATTCAAAAAGGAATGTGCGGAAGATGCTTTTCAGCAGACTTGGCCGACGATTCCGTCTCTTCGAATTTTCCAGCTCGATCTTCCATCGTCTACAATCACATCGTGCCATGTGTTACCACCATTAACCACTTTGTCATCATTAATTACGGTATTATTTCGTTTTGTGCGAGATATCACCAACAAGAGAACATACTGTAGACATTTCTTTCAAATATTCATGCTGTCGATGTTGCATTGAAATTTTGTCAATTTCAAAGTGAAAGACGCGACGACAATCGGCTAGAGAAGATGCGACTTGAGAGAAATTGTCCATGAAAAAAGATGCTGAGAATGAATTCTCTGGAAATGTTCTCCCATGTTCCTTCGATTAATTTTGATACTCACTTTTCTAATCGGTCACCGAGCAAACTCGATCGGTCCACTTTCAGGGGATCGTATAAATCGTCTGCCTCGAGATTCTTCTTGTATCCTGTCTTGAATAGGGTGATAGTCCACCTGAAATTCGGCGATTTCAATCGCGAATCAAACGTCGAACTACAGATGACGTCGAACTACAGATAATATCAAGTAGTAATTACTTAAATTAAATAGTACAACAGCGAAAAGCTTGAAATGAAAGATATGAGGATGTGAATATAAAATTCGATACTACACGTGTCTCGGCGATATAACAATGCGCTTTTCAGTTTCGCTCGAAAATACACAGTTATCTTCGAAGATTTGCACAAAGATAACAATTGCTTTGTCGAGAAGAGTACGGTTAGAGGTCACGTAATAGTCGCTCGCTTATCGAAGGTAACATGCTGAGTCGTGACATTGTCGCTTCTGTTTTGAATGTTAATACAACGCAACATCTCGGCATTGGAATTTAAATGCGAAAGCTAATGGCGCGAAAAAGTGCCGATGTTCAAACTGAAAATTCAAACGATCGACGCTCCAAATCTTCAGGCAAGTCTCTGAGAGATCGCTCGGATTGTCTCAGCTCTGACAGATATCCGCGTAAGTTAATTAGATTACATTAATAATTAATCACACATGTTAGTTCATATGTACGGTACTTAACGCATGCGCGTGTTAACGAGATGCGCATTTTCATACTTGGCGCGAAAAATCTGACTGATCGTGAACCTCGAAAAGTTCGATCCACTCACCACCATAGTAACACCGATAAGATACTCGTATTCTCCCTCGGGTTCGGCCTCGACTTCGTTTTCGTTGCTTCCATCGGTCCTTGTGCGCGGCATTAACTCGCCACGAAGTGCTACTTCAGTTGACACGATTGAACAATCGATTAATAGATCGAATGCACGACAATTAGCTATTGAACGCTCGCGTCGCGACACTTCTGTGTATCGCGCGATCTACTCTTTCTCGCGCGATGGAGAGATCTCGCTGTTTGGATCTCACGATCTCGATGTACTTCCTCGTTTTACTTGTCACGCAATGAAACTCACCAACGGACGACGGAGATCGCTCGTTTTATTAGGCCACGCTTTCTATGCGAACGCGTGTGCTCGAAATCAAATCAAAACAGGCGCACTCCACATATATTTATCACTCTCCGTTTATTTTTCCCTGATATCACTGATTATCGCCCTAGAACCCTCGGTGATTCAACCGACAAAAAATTATAGATACCAAGACCGCCACATCGAAATTCACACCATCTGCCGTCTCTTCGTGTGCCTCTTCGTGTGCTTATTTTCGAGTGCTTCTCTGGAATTCTTGCGTTGGCCGTTCGTGTGCTGTTGACAATTTGTAAATATAAATTATATTGCGTTCATCGATTATTGCTATTATTGTTACTGCGTATAGCGAGTGACCGTAACCGAATTAACTTAATGTATTTCAAATGTAAAATGATAAATTATAAATAGAGAGAATGATGAATTATTTTCTTCTGCCTAATGCTGTCGCGCGTGCGCGTGAAGATGTTTCGGCTTTTTGACTCCACAAGTTATCGTCCGGTTTATCATCGATTATTATAAATTGTCGCGCCTAATATTACGGAAAATGGATGTAGAATTACGTACGCACTAGTGACATACTGAAATTAAGAAATCTCAGATATTTCCGGGATAATGATCGTTTCATCGATTTAATGTACGAATAATTCTTCAGTCGTGTCTACCTGTGTTCCAAAGAAAAAGAAATTAAATTACTCGCACGTCCTTCTTATCTTAGCGGCACGCGATTTATTTGCCTGCTATGTCACTCTGCTAAAATAGCAATATGAAAAGTCACATGATCGCAATGAATACCGTTTCGCAAGTCGCTTATCTTACACTGATAATGAAACGCAGCTGACTGATGCATACTCGCCATTAATCCAGTGATCGATTCTTTGGTGGAAAATTTTACATAATCAACAAGAATTCTTTAACAAGAATTCGAGCACGCGAGACTCGACGAAACTAGGTAGATCGAAAATAAGATAATAAAAAATCGCGAATTCCCTCAAGTGGAAATTAAACTGAAACAAATACAAACATCAAAATTTAAATTGGAAATATAATTGGAAAAATTGGACGATAACAGCAAATGAAGATACGAAAAAATTTGAAAAGAAATAAAATCAATGAAGTTAAAAGAACGCGCGCGCGCGCGCGCGAACATCGTGGAAGTGGAATTGAAAAAAGAAGAAAGCGAAGTTGGAATCGAAAATAAAAGAATTGAACTATCAAGATTAGCTTGTGAGGAAGCAAGAGTTATCTAGGGGAAATCCTCAGTTTACTGTTTTGATCCACTTTTGAGGAAAATACGCGAGCAAATTCATCGATCGCCGAGCGATATATGGTCGACAATGATGATGTTGCGGATGCAAAGGAAAACAACATCAATAAAATCTCTTATTATCTCCGCTGTATACCCTCTCAATGCGTTCTCAATCGTACGCAATTCTCGTAATTTTCGCAAATAACTGTCCATTACTAATTTATCAGCGGCTGCGGTAGCCATATTATAATTTCTGAACTCGTTTAACTCATGTTTTCCACACACAGTAAACAATAGATAAATTGTCGCTCCTCTCATTACGGTTCAAATGTTGAGTCTGAATGTCTCTATATGTCTAAATCTCGAATCTGGAGTCTTCATTTATGCTATCTCTAACGCTAACATCGAACGCGCGATAACGTGTCTTGAAAGGCATAAAAATCTTATAGATGATTTTTATGTTCCGCTGAATGTATATTTGTACACTCTGTTTGATCCTCTTTGTTTCGTCCGTCGGATCTTTTAATTAGCATGAAATAAATCAATAATTGAAATCAGGGAGAAAGAAGAGAGGAACATTTGTACAAATACAATGTAACATCGCAATATCGTAGTGCGAACAGAGAAGACAGAACAGTCAAAATTTGAAATACACAGTATTTGAGACATAAAGCCTTATTAGAAATAAAATACGATACGCTTACCGATTTACCGAGTTAATAAGTACTAATTACTTTAAACGTTCATTTTTTTCATCGCTCGGTAACAAACAGTTACCAAGACGCTATATTTTTCAACATTGTGAAGAACATAACCGTCTGTTTGACGATAAAAAATTCCTTTTTTTTTGCGCCAAGTTTTCCCGAAACCTCTTCGTCGCAAAACCCGGCAATTCCCCACGTCATGTAAAAGAAGACTGAATTAATTGCCAGAGGAATATCCCACGTCATGTCACGCGTCGCCTTCAGATGTTTTCGACGACATTGGCGACGTGATAGCGCGTAGTGATAAAGCTTTTGCATGACTCGGCGTTATTATGACAGTGTAAATGTCCAGAAAAAAACTGAGTACATTAACCATGTCAGGACGTAGTCGGAAGTTTCCGCGTGGAGTTAGACGTGGGCGTTGGAACATCGCATCGTTATTATGGAGATAATTAAGACCATTTGTCTCGCGGTAGTAACGATTCAATATCTATATAATTATATCTCGTTAACTATTATTAATCTTTTTGCCGTATATAATTATATCTCGTTAACTGTTATTAATCTTTTTGTCGTTTTCGCTTAGTACCGAATCAATTGGAAACAGTACTCGTTCTTCTCGTATCACGCGAATGAATTTGCAACTTTGCGCGCATTCTTTAATGTCCTCATTAATCAAATTCGACTTTTTACTTCCAAGTTTTTAGCGCTCGCCATTGAAATTCCAATTTATATTCCTCGTTATTTAATATTTCTACGATATGGGTTCAATGTGCAACGATGCAACGATTATGGCCCGTCGGACGAGCTAAGAATAAACTCGATAACATTAAAAATACGACCTGTCAGGACATTAAAACCGGAACAAGTCCAAAAGGCTCCAGACTTTGCACGTTCACTGATTTGTTTTTACGACTTTGAAACTGTTATGAGACAACAAACAAAGAGACTCTTGCGATAAGAATTACATTGCGCTTCCAACGGAAAATTCTGTAAAAATAGTATTACTTCCATATTGTAATATCGAATCATAATAATACACGTAGAAACATTATGCATGCAAAATTATGAATTAACTAGATTAACTAGGTTTCTCCAATAGGCATACGAGAATGTTAACGTTATAGACAAACAGAGACAAAGTGCTCTTCATATTTGACTTTGCCGCTTCGTTGTTCTTGAAAACTACACGATCGAGGGACAATATTTGTCCCATATTTTTTCCTTATCCCTTCGCGGAATTCACACATAGCTTCTCGCTAGTAGTGTTATTATTTACGGAGATTTACGGATCCTGTTACTTTTAGAATATACCGGTGCGAAGTTATTGAGTCATCAATAAAAATAGTCACGAAGAATCGCTGTTGCTTTATTCAATGAGCGAATATCGCAACATTGGTACGAATTGAGAATGAGAACGAAATCGCACGAATCTTCATGCGATGCGTTCTCGCGACAAGTCGCGGTGAATTTTTCCGGAATCTCACGAATTTATTTTTACCTAGTGAGACAACGATACTCCGCTTCCGATAATTCGCTTATGATATGGTTAGTTTATGATGCAAATTATTTAATCTTGATATGTTATTATTATTGTTTTGCTACACGACCCATGACGACCATGGCCTTGCATCACACGCTGATTACTCATCGTAGCTCGAACGTGTTCCGAGTAGACAATGGAACATGAATGTTGAAATGTCTTGTATACAACCTGTGAAATTTCAATAAACCACAGAGTCTAGAGTGTGGAGGAGAACATTGAAAGCATACAATCGCAAGATAATACAATTATTATTACAGTTCATCGTCATCCTTATTACTACCATTATAATTACGAAGCATGAAGAACTGTGATTATATTATATTATCGTGAAATGATGTGTATTAAACATCTTCAATTGCATCGACGTATCGAGAACTGTCGACGAAGGTATCCTGAAAAAATTGCAAACACACGACGAGGCACGACAAACAGCAATTACGAATATAAATTTTATTATTTTGATAGCCTGAGGTCTCCTCGAGAAATACCGTGCGAAACTGTATTACAAGCGTGTAATTTTGCATAAATCGTCTCAATTGTGCACGTTTCTTTGACTCAACTTGGCACACACTGTGTAAGACCGCGTGTTAAGATTAATCCAAAGACAAAAAGCATCGGCGCGGTATAACCGCAGACAAAGTCCATGGTACAACGACGACTGTGACGAACGAAGAATGTGACAACGGTGTATATTTATTCGGCGAGTTACGCACTTTGCGATCAATGGTCGGAATGGAGCAATCGTCGGGACGGCCGCGTCCGCGGAGTAGTTCGCAACGTTACATAATTAGCTAGTTTTCTTAACAGAAACGTGGGTTTCGCTGCATCGTTACGACTGAGAGCGAATCATTCACCGAGAAGGCAGAGTCGTAGCCAGCAGTATCTTTCGACGCGATCAAGCGGGTTCTCTTCTCCTGTTCGTTAGTATAAAAGAAAGATCTTTAATTTTTTTTGATATACAAATGAAACGTATATTCCGTGAGTGAAGAGATTCTTCGTCACGATTTAATGTTAATGTTAATGTTAATTTAATTTAATTCGATTAATGTTAATTTAATTTAATTCAACGTACAATTACGTGCTCAAATGAGATGAGTAGATTGGAACTTGGATGCTAGTTTTTCAATGGAATCACGATTACGAGTATGATGTCACGCGTGTTATTTAACTTGGGTATTTCAGATTTAAATTCAGCTCCGAATATCTCACGTGAAACAAGTTCAAGATTTCATGGTGAAAGAAGGTTACATTAACACGGATCTTAAAAATTGAACTTAAAAATCGGATTCGAATGCTCCACGTTATGTAAGAGCCACAGCAGTCTCATCCGCATGAGTGCGCGTTATGTGAAGCCTATTAAGTTAATTACGGACGATTAATGTTGCAAGACACGAAGACTTATTGTGCGTTACGACGATCCATGGCGATTTAGCCGCTGTAAAAGACGAATCAATCGCGTGCGCAATGATACGCGTAATCGTTGCAGTAGTTCAACCTTGCGTCGCGTGACTCACAATTAAGCTGCGAGCGAATGAGCGGGTATTGTGAAGTGGCAAAAATCGCGTCGCGCCGAAACGGATCGTTCTTGACTCTTCAAGTCTTCAGAATAACCGTACCGCAACCGATGGAAGAAATGAGAGCAAAATACGACTAAAAAATATATTTGGGAATGAAAAATGAAAATTGGCAACAATTCTCGCGTGTTGTTATAAACGAGATGAACATCGTGACTGTGTTACCCAGCGAGAAATGACTCGTCGATCGATGTCGAAACGATATCGAAAAGTTCAAATCGACATCAATTCATTTTGCTGTCGATTTTAATCGTCGAGTTATTTCTTACTGGATTATCGACATCCCTTTTCTGCCAACTAAATTCCGCGCGAACGCTACTTTCGTAATTTTTTCGAAATCAATTCGGACGTTAGTTTGCACGTACACATACACGCATACCAACAATACAAATAGCTTAATTTATTTGCGCAGCAGAAAAAGGTGCAAGAACAAAAAAGACACTCAAGATAAAGTGAACTTGATACAGAGATAAACTTAATTCGTCTGTGCAAAAACACGTATGTGTACGATTAATTACATCATGAGAATTGCGACGCGCTGCAATTCGAGCAGAATTCGAGAGAATCTCTCACGATTGTAACGGTCATCGCTTTTTCTGATGCTTATCTTTTCACCTTTTTTTCTCTTAGAAGTTCTTATTGATATATATTTTATTTCTCTTCCCGCACTTCCCTCGATCTGCTTGTCTCGATGTTTGTGTCGAGCGCGTGCGCTCTTCATGTCATGAGGGGAACTTAATCTATCACAACAGCGAGAAATATCACTTATATTGATAAATTTACATGTGAAGCACGAGCAAATTTTCGTACATGTGAATACATGAACATAGCTCAGCATGCGTGCCTCACGTGGCGAGCAGTTTCCTCTACTGAGTATCTATTTCATTGTTTGTTGATTCATCGAATTTCTAAAGTCTCCTGTCTCTCCTTATGCGTGCGTGATGCCGTTTTCTACTTCTCTGAATAATTTATCAGCTTCGCGAATTTAATCTTTTTTCCTAATCACTTTATCAGTCGACGAATTAATTACATGCTTCACCGAATATCTCTCTCTCAGGTCCATCCGAATTAATAGAGCAAAATAATAATCAAGATAAAAGTTCCGAAAGCTTGAGAAGAATACTGAGAAAGAAAACGTTCATGCCGCAATATATACAATTCTAAGGCTTGTTTGTTTTGTCTGCACTGCTGAACTGGCGCAACAAGTTGAAGTGAGAAAACCTACGTTTGTCTCACTTTAACTTAATGCACCACAGTTCAGCAGTGCAGACAAAATGAACAGTTCGCGCCTCTAGTTCGCGTTACAGGAACGATTCTTGTGCTGCGCAACGGTAGACGCGCGATATTTTGAGACACTCGGTACGAGATGACGTAGTCGCAACACATCATGACGAACACGCGATTACTTGCGAACACACGACTTGACTAGCGACGTAATCTTTCCGTGACGTGCAATCCACATCAGGAGGAATGAATACACTCAGCAGAGACGACTTGTATATAATCGAAAATAACAACAACTACCGACTGTTTTATGCAAAGCTGCACTTTAATCGGCTGTTTAAGCAGAAAGATAAGATAATATATAGAATGAAAATAATAGTAATAATTAAATAATCCCAACATCAGTAATATAATCTTATGGTTAGCACTGGATTTGCCGAAAGAAGAGAGAATGTCTTTCTTCTTTTTCATTTAGTACGATGACATACATATGTTCTTCTTGACCTACAAAGGCACGGTTAAACAATAATTAAGTAAATATAAACGTCACGGTACTTTGAATATCGCGCTGTTGTTAGGTGTCGTGCTTTTTATACCGCGAAATTGAGATTTCAAATATTGCTGCAGACAATACAAGCTTCTAAGGAACACTTCAAAGACGCTCAAAGATGTTTCACTCTTTTTAGATTTGTAGGTTGAATATTTTCTTACAACAACAAACGAAACATCATGCGTTTTCGTAACATCGTGAAATTCTGACGAATTCGGTAATCGTTGAGCAACTTAAATATCGCGGTTGAAAAAGTTAAGATATTTTTTTTGTTTTTGCTCTTTTCCAATTTCATTCTATTTAATTCTTTCTCTCGCGCCCTTAATTATTCACACAATCTAATGAAATTTGGCAAACATTTAATGGTGATAATTATTATTGCGTCTTTGCATAATGTCACCTTTGCGGCATTTTAGAAACAATTAGGCCGACGTCTTTGCCCAAGAGGTAAAAAAGATGTCATAAGAGATATTTGGAAAATCCCAGGAATGTGGAAGTTATTTCGCACCTTTCACTTTCGGCGCAAGAAATTATAATCGCATTATGAAAGTTATATAATAAAAATGATTTATTTGACGAGGAGAACTATCACACTACCGGAAGTGTACCGTGCAATCAAATTTCATCTCGAAGCGGATCGACTTTGTGACTGAGAATTTCACGGAAAAAAAAGTAGGACACTCACGACCTTAAAATTCCGTTTCCTCCGAGACTTGAGATCGTCGCTGTTTCAGAAATAATACGTTGCATCAAATTATACCGTTATCGGTATCTTGCGCGCGTTCAACGTTCACGGAACAGTAGTCAGATCTGTTTACACCAGACAAATTTACATTGCAACGAGAGACTCGACGTTTATCATTATGCAACATTGTAAATTATCAATTTACAATTCGATATTCGCAGACACAAATTACCCGGAGACTACAATAAGTGACATGACTATTTTTGGCAGGAGAGACTTCACGGAGGTCGAGGCGGAAGGAACCGAAAACGATACATTACACCATTACTCGCGAGCGCAGCAGACGTTAAGTCGCTCCTAAAAAATGAGCTTTCCGCGTCAATAAAGCTTGACTTTCACCTGATCGAAGCCTCTAGCTAATCGTCACGGTCACTTTGCGCCGCTTACGGATAACAACTCGTCACACGCGACGTCCTGCGCGTTCGCTCGTACTCACAGATCTCTTTCGTGACGCACTCACATGTATACATATATAATTAAAGAGGAAACAAGTCCAACCGCAACGACGACTGCGCGAATACTGAGCGGCCGCATCGAGCGTCGAACGGGTTTCGTTATTCGCTTTGGGTCACGTGGCATCGCCATCGGACATTTGGCCCATTGGGCTTTGCCTTGGCGGGGGTTTGTCTAGCTTAACAATCGGAGCATTTAGGGGGAAGTAAGGGGATCTCACAGAGGGGTCTGAGGGGATCGCGAGTTCGATACCGGTTCCTCAGGGTCGCATTTACGTATTCGTAGAACCGTGTGTGATCACAAGTGCCAGTATAAAATTAGAACAAATAATACACAGTTTAATAAAGAAATGGCAAAAGTTTCTAAGAACGTGACGATTCTTCACTCCACCACTATCGAATTTTGATAATTTGGGTCAGAAACTTCGAACTTTGCAGCAAGACGACAACTTACGTATTCATGTTCTGCAAATTCCCCACACGACATCCTGTAAATTATATCTAAGAAAAATAAATAGTGACTTACGTTGTAACATAAATAAGTATCAATCAAATAAGTATTTTTATTATTAAGCTTATCATGTTAAAAGTAGCAGTTTTAAATGACGTAAACGACAAATAAATTCCATCGATCACTACTTATTTTGTCGGGGAATCTATGCTATGCAGCTTAATCTTCAAGTAAGTATATTTCGTAGAGTCTTTGGTCTTCTTCGTTCAGAAACTTCGGGACGAAATTAATCTCTACTATTTCCTTATATCCTTCTTCCAATGATGGGGGCACGTAATTTTTCCTGTGATGGAACGTAAAATTGATTTTATCTCATGTAAGTGGTAATTACATGATATTAGTAGGTATATTTTTTGACTGATATGAGATAAATATAATTTTGTATTCAAGGACAGAGTATGTGCTTAAATATAGAATTTCTACTTACGCGTAAGAATTTATAATAATCTCACTAACTGGAATATGGCTTGGATCAGTCAATTCTCGAAACTGTGAGAAAAAATTAAATTAAGAACAAGAAAATGTAATTTTTAGCCGGGAAACTTCTGAGATTTTTCTTCATTTCATATTGAAATGTTTTGTCTTTATATAAAATTAATATTACATATCGATTACCTTGTTATTGTGTTTCGCATGCTGCATACTCGTCGTCATAACAAAACATCGAATAGGAACTTTGTGTTTCTTGGCCACTTCAATGTATCTCTGTCTCGACATTGGGTCAGGATTAGTATTATCTATAACTACGCTCTTTCCCTGATTTAAATACTGATCGACCATGGCAGTGCATTTTTGCCAGCTACCTAAACTATCTCTGTTCACATATTCATATTTTTTCAAATAGTGCTTTGCGAAATGTGATTTTCCAGAACCTGGACTACCAACCAGAAGTATTACCTGTTTATGAGAAGATTAAACACATTAATAAATAATATTAGTAATTCAAATACAATGATCTTACAATCACACAACTACTTAACAAGTTTAATATATCAAATTCAGAAGAAAAACTATTTCTATAGTCTTGTTTAACTCGGTCTAATTTTAAATTAAAAATCTTTATATATTTGTTAGAGCCTTTAATTAAACAAAGATATATGAAAAAATTACAATAAATTAAATCTCATCATCATAGATAACGATAAGGAAAAAATATTTACGTATTTCAATAACTCTATAAAATATAATTATGTATTGCCAACCTCTTGTTGCTTTAGCGTCAAATTTGCATCTGCAGGTTTGCATATGTCACAATCTTTTGGCAGATTTTTGGGATTGAACACAGGCAATACATAAGGGGCAGCTTTTTGCTTCAGAAAGTGTTCTTCAGGTGTTTCAAATTTGATATCCAGGTTTAGCGCCATTAAACGATCCACGGTGGAGTGGTCTTTCTTTTTTCCAGCGGCCCAATTTTTTTGCCGACCAGCCGCATCGCCGACGTAAAATGAATTAATTTTATCGATGGCTATACCTCCGTTTTTCTAATGTTATCAACATTTCATGTGAAATTTCTTAAAAGCTATATCTCAAAATATAAAGTGTTAAAATACTACATACATTTAGGTATAGGTACATACTTTTTTTTCTAATGCTTCCCACATACCAAGCGCTGGTTTTCTATAGATGCTTCTTCCTGTAGCGATGAAAACCTATGAAAAAATAAGGAACATTATTAAACAATCACAAATTCATAATTCAAAATTATGTAATTGTAACTATATAGAGTTGGTTGTAACATGCACCTGCATAGGAATGCCAATTTTCCGTACAATTCCTTCAATCTTGAGCTTAAAATCGCTCAATTTGACTTTGCCTTTACCGAGACCCGCTTGATTTGTGAAAATTACTATCTTGTATCCGTTTGTGTGTAACTGCTTCAATTTGCCAGGCACATCGGGATATAATAATTGCCAATCATTGCAGTCTTTTGGAAATACCAGGCCAGATTTGGTTTTAATTAAAGTTCCATCCATGTCATAAGCTGCCACCTAAAATTAGCATGTATCATTAACACGATTGTAGATAAATATTGCAAATTAACATTTCAAAATAATTGTAAAATTATTAAATATGTACAAGTATATATTATTTACGTATGCACATATAATTTTATATATATCATTTTAATATATTTAATATTATGTAAAATATTACTGCTGCTATATACTATATATTTGAGTATTAACATATTTTTATAATAAAATTACTTTTGATTGATCTTGAAGAGAGGATGCTGTATAAATAATTAATTTTCTATCATCAATTTTTTCCCATTTTGCTGATGTATTTAAATTGCTATTGTTTTCTTCAGAAGATATACTACATGCAGTATGTAATGTCTTCTTATTAGGATAAACATCATCTGAAGATAATCCCTCCTGGTCTGGTCCGTTACACTCTAGCTCTTTGTCTAAATATCTATCCAGCTTCATCATTTTAGTTCTGTTTTCAGTTTCATCCGGTTGCAAATAAAATCTTTTTTTCGATATCAAACTCGTCACAGGTGGTGGTGGATTAAACTCAAATTCATAGGCATACTTGCCATACAACAACTCCAAACGATCATTATGTCTAGCAATAAACTTCACGTTCTTTTGAGTTTTGAAACCATTAAAACCACAGGAATGCACACCAACTTGTTGAACCGTAATGATAGCCTCTGTATAATTTGCACATAAACGTACTGTTGGAGCAAAATCGATACAATTAATTACTTCAATGATATACACATGCTGTAAATTGAAATAAAAATATATTAAATGCGGCTAACAATTGCATGTTATTAATTAGAGATTTTAACAAATTATTACATATATTTTGCATAAAACCAAAATTTCCATAATTAGCATTAAGTAAATTTTAATTTTAGACTTGTAATTAATATTGCAAAAATAATGTATAAAAAACTGTTATATATTATAAGTACATTTAATAACCTTGTTGCCGCGAACATTTCGTATCGATGATGCCAGTTAGCGGCGAGCGACCTACGAAAACAGGCTCGTTGTCTGGTAGATGAATATTTGACGGAGAGTTATCTAAGTTAATAATATAACAACTTTTAACAGTTTTACCCCTCGCACTCATGACTCCGAATGACAGCAAACGACAGCAGCCGACACCGCGGACACGTTACAATTGCTCTTTTTGAATGCACTTTCTTGCGTCAGTGCTAATGAAGTACACTAAAAGCAATGGGCCGCGTTCAGCAGAAAAAGCTGCTGACTAAGCGCTTAATGATTATCGTTTCTGATTGTCTCATTTTTGGATTTGTTAAAGATTTAAAAGAATACTCCAATTATAGATAATGGTTCACGTTCAGTGGAGAAAACTTCTCCGCTACCACTCAGTAGCAAATGTTCATGATTGGAGAATTCTTTTAAATCTTTGCCAGGTCCGAACAGACATACCAATCAGAGACGTTTGCTACGGAATGGTAGCGGAACAGTTTTTTCCGCTGAACGCGACCATTCTTTTCTAATATATTGGGTCTATTCTTCTTCGAAAAACTTTTCAACTAGTGCACATCAGATATAAGTTAGAATGAAAGAAAATATATCTGTTCCATTCCAACTTATTGTACTAATTCAGGGTACCTATCATGGAACTTGTCGGAATCGATTCCAATCGGAATATTTAACAAAAGAATCTGTAGAATGGGAAGGAACATAGTGAAATCTCTGTTTCGGGTGTATGTTTAGAAAGGTTCTAGAGATACAAGGGTCGTTTATTGCTCGGAGATATTTTATGGCATAGGCGAGTTCCGATAAGTTGACGTATCCGAATGGAATTTGTTTCAACCTCGAAGACAACTGAATTTCTATTTTATTCTTAGATAAACTACTTTATTCCTAAGGCTTATTTCTCTTTGAATATAATAATAATATAATATAGTGGTAGTAATAATGATAATGGCAATAATAGTAATAATTAAAGGATGACCTTATTGAAAGAGTAGTGGCAGGGTCACGCGTTTATTGCTGTTTTGAATAATTATTTTACAATGTATATTAGCAGAAATGCTCGCAAAGGACGCTACTGTAGGATTTATTGGTAATTTGGTACAGTTTGGGTTCTGGCGATTTGGTTTTGAGGATTATATCTAGGGTGGAAAATTTTAGGTTGGGAACGTTACAATAGGTACGCAGAAGTTCTTTGAAGAACAGACCTTTTATTTTCTAATTAGAGAGAATCGATTATCTTCTCGATATTTCCAGATTCGATTAATGTTCATATCGATAGGATGTAGCGGGAAAAACAAAACTTATCGTAAAATCGCGTGATATTTCTATCTTTAGTTTTAATGTAATTTATGTTATTCACAAAATGATCTATCTCGCTTTTACAAGACAGTGTATTTTGCAAACGAAAAATTTTTATTAATTTAAATTATGTAAATAAATCTATGATTTGATGATTTAAATTACGCGAATTAAATTACGTGAATGATTTTTGTACATAATACTTACACAAAAAGATATACCGTGATATTTGCAACTAACTTTTCCTTTACGATTTTGCAGGAAAATGGCTAGTTTAGAACTTATTTGTGAAGAAATAGCTTTCTCGAAAGTACTCGTTGACCAGTTACTTACTATATAAGAAGGAAGGGAACTAACCATGTCGTGTAGTATGAAAGGAGAGACGTTTAGCACTCCCCTAGACAAGGATGGACACACATACAAAACTGGTAAGGCACGGTCGTCTTCTGACGACACTTACCACATTTTTTCCGTACGAAACTTTTTTGATAACAGTTTAAATAATTTAATAGTGGCAAATAACATAGGTTTATAAATATGTTCTATATTCGTAGACTTTTTTGTATGAAGCAATTAACCTAGATGTACCAGAGAGGAAGCTGAGAGCGGCCAACATGGCGTTTTCGGTGACACTGATTTTTCGCACTGGAAATGGGCGCCATCTTCATCCATTTTGAGAGGAGAACTACGATGCTACATCCACTTTTCGGTCTTGGTGGTAAAATCTGCATGTGGTGGAAGTCCGTGCTACATCCATTTTCAGGCGGTTTATGTCTGCAACCGTGCTGCAACCATAGTTACTATCTCTATGCCAGACAATAGGCCTGTTCGTTTTGTCTGCACTGCCGAACTGGTGCAACAAGTTGAAGTGAGAAAATCTACGTTTGTTTCACTTTAACTTAATGCACTAATTCAGCAGTGCAGACAAAACGAACAGGCCTTATGCCCGAAGGTCTAAAAAGAGCGGGGGGGGGGGAGCAGGAAAAATGAAAGTACATATTAAATATTAAATCCTCTATATACGTTGCCGTATCAAAGTCTCTTGTATAATAAATGATTTGATACGTCTGGAGATGCATGATGTATCGTTGCCTGCGTCCCGTTCCCTTCGTCCTGCTTCTCGATTCAGCATCCCGTCCGCTCCGGACATTCGCTCGTGGCACTGACAGTGGCCGTCGGTGAGCATTCGATTCGCTCGGAGGAGCACATGTTAATTAATGCGACGAGACTCCGATTATAAATATCCCGCGAGTCGACGAAATATTTGAATTTTTAAAAAAGCATCAAAGAAAATCACATTGATGTTGTCATGGGTGAAATCTCACCCTGGTGTATATTTTTTTATTTTCGAAATAAAAAAAGTCAAACGAATGCAATTAAATGTTATTTATTATCGTTGAATATTAGATGAAAAGTAGAAGAGTTATTGTCCGCAGCGGATAATCTAACATTTAATAAGAACGAGACAAAATTCGCATGAGATGAAATTCCACTCTTTAACGCTACCATGACCTTTAATTATTCTCCGAAAACGGCGTTACAACAACTTTGACATTCTGTACAATTAGTTGCTAACATATTTTCTAATCGTACACATTCCTCTTTAATTAACATAAAGCTAACAAATATCCGATGCTTCGACAGAATAATTTTCTTTATTTTCAGTAATCAATAAGTAGTAAATCAATGTCGCGTACAGTTGAGAGGTCTCCTCGCATTCCCCTCCTTGTCCCGGAACCTTCGAGAAAAGAAAAAATGCCCAAGGGCAAGTCTCTTGCTTCAACCGCCGCCGAGGCCCGCAATGTTTACATCGCGCCGATTGTGTTGATCGGCTCGCGAGCGACGACACTTTTTGCCCTTCGTTTGACGTTTGACGAATTTTCCGGGAATAAGAAGTCGGAATTTCGCGCTCGGCATTCACGATTCGTCATCATCCGACTAGTAATCATAGACACTTTATGAATCTGCAATTACTCTCGTCAATCTCTGTCTGTCTATCTATTTATTGTGTTGTTGTATGTGTTACGGTTAAAGTGATAAATCCAGTTACTATGCATAACAACCGCTTATTATGCATAATAACCAATAGCTTTGGTTAATTTGATAAATTATTCATATTTTTGTAATTAAAACCCACGCGTAAATTAAAAGCGCGTAAGCTGCTGCACACACGGTTATTAAAACCCACACGTAAGTTGCAAATGCGTTTTTGTATCGCGCGCTGTGTGTGCCCAATTACGCGTAAGTTTTAATAACCGTGCATGCAGCTTACGCACTTTTAACTTACGCTTAGGCTTCAACAATCGTGCGCGCAGCGCGCGATGCAAAACGCACTTGCAACTTACGCGTAGGTTTAATTGTTCTATCTTGGCGCGGCTGCACCAAAAACTATATCGAACTAAATCTTGTTTAATACATATATGACAGCATTTTTATTATAATATATTCTATAATGAAGGTTTATAATTTATTTATTATAATACTATATAAACTTAAATAAAACATTATACCGTATATGTATAAAGAGAATTTACAAGAACATTTTATTATAATAAAAATGCTGTTATATATGCTGCTATATATTAAACAAGTTTTAGTTATGTTATGTTAGGTTTCTCAGTTGGCGCTACTGTTCTAATATATCATTTCTTTTGTACAGTAGAAAAGTGTTGCAAAGTTTTATTATAGTTATAAGTTTTACTTGTAAAAACTTATGTACACATTTATACAATAAAAAAAATAATTTGAGTTTGATACTTCTAAAAATAACACAATACGTGTTGCGCTTGTACTTGGCGCCTTTTTTTTACTTTTTTGTTTAAAAAGGTAAGTTTTATATAATATTAAATATACGTACGTTTCACGTATAACGTGATTGACTTGGAGCACTCCGCGCCCACTCGTGTTATTTATAGCGACGCATTCATACTTTCCCTGATCTGTTACATCGGATTCGATAATCTGCAAGGCACCTGAAATATAAAATGTGATATTCTCGAACAGCGTTCCTCTCAGGATTTTCTTGTCCAAAGAGAGATCAATGATGCGATCGCAGATTTCGTGTATGTCATGTCAAAATAGAGACAGTTTGAATTCGGCGTAATATGATTCTTGGAACAGACGTAAATAAGTATTGTGAAGTTTGAAGCGAGTCTCTCACAGGCATGCTTTGAAAACACGAGTTGTTTTCATTTTCAGCTAACGGACGACGCAGGCATCAACACTGATCGGCAAGGTTAGCGACTGGTGGGGGGTAACCGTGCCTTCCCGATTGTTTGGTTTCGTACCCTTGTATATGACTCCGTGATTGCGGAAAGGACATTGCGCTTCGGGCCGACGAACAACGCGCATACCGCGACGCGTAGAGTAGTACGATAGTTGTATCGCGGTTAATACGCGTTTCTTTGTCCCCGAATTTTACTTGCGCGAGTGTTAGAGCTAGAGTCAGTGTCGTCGCCAGTGCTGCGACGGAGCAACCAGAAGGACGTCGGATCGAGAAGTCAGGATGGAGAGGACTTGGAGCGCGCCGAGACATGGACAGCGATACATCATGTATGGTACCTCGAATCATTATTATTATGCAGGATTTTTCTGATTTTAACGGACCTTACTCGAAGTAAGGACATACCCGAGTCGAAATTAGATCAGCATTCATAGTTTATCATCTGAAAAATGATAAAATAGCTTGAGATTTGATTATTCGTTAACCTAATTTCACGTAACATGAGTTCTGCTTTTCTTTTCTCATAAAATATGAATGTCTATTCAAGCAAGGTTGCTGAGGCAAGCTAAGGTTTATGAATACAAATTTGTAATTATGTTCTCAATGAAAAATTGTACATAATTTAGAAAACTATGAATAATGATCTTAGAATCTGATATAAATTTTACAAGTGCTGATTTTTATTCGTCTAATAATGCTCAGATTGCTGTTTTCATTTAGAATCTGCTAGAATGTCCGTTTCTCATTCTTGCTTATCTTTCTTATTGTACCGAATCTGAATTAAAAATTCTATTAGTGAAACAGCATTATTAGACATAAGCGTTGTCTTTTT